CTAGTATTCACCTGTATCATTCCCCTAGTATTTTCTGAGCAACCAAGCACTATGATTGTTTAAGGGCATCTCTTCAAGGAGGCGCTCTGGAAACTGAAAAAAATGGAAAAAAATGAAAACACTAAAAAACCAAGGATTCAGGGACATGGGGGCCGCCCCAGGCATGTCCCCCTGAATCCTTGGTTTTTCAGTGTGTTTGTTGCGTTTTTGTTGTGCTTTTTTTTAGCGTGTTCAGTTGTTGTTGTTGTTTTTCAGTTTTTCAGTGTTCCCCTAGTATTCTCCCTTATTACGCCCCTAGTATTTTCTGAGTATTCCCCTAGTATTGCCCTAGTGCCTTTGCAAGGAAACCTGAGAGGTCAGACAAATTGAGCTTGAGAGTATACCCCTCGTATTCCCTCAGCATTCCCCTAGCATTCTCCTAGTATGCTCCTTTAGTATTACCTAGTCTTCCTTGAGTAGATCCCTAGTATTGCCCTAGTATTGCCCTAGTAGTCCTTTAGTATTCTCTTGGTATGCCCTGAGTATTTCCTAGTAAGGGAAGGGGAATACTAGGGGAATATTTTTAGTATTGTTCTGGTATTCCTTAAGTATTATCTTGGTATACCCTAGTATTTTCTCAGTATTCTCCTAGAATTCCTTCAGTATTCACCTTTAGTATTCCCCTAGTACTTCCCTAGTAGTGCCCTAGTATTGCCCTAGTCAGGAAGCCTGAGAGGAGTCAGACAGATTGAGCTTGAGAGTATAATTCTAGTATTCCCTCAGTATTCCCACGTATTATCCTAGTATGCACCTTTAATATTGGCCTAGTATTCCCTGAGTACGTACCTAGTATTGCCCTAGTATTCCCCTAGTATTGCCCTAGTACTCCTTTAGTATTCTCTTGGTATACCCCTATATAGTGTTTCCTCACTACCCCCCCCCCTAGTGTTCCCCAAATATTTTACTAGCAAAGGAAGGGGAATACCTTCAGTATTATCTAACTAACTAGGCAGCTGAATGATTAGCCAATTAACTAGCTAACTGGCTTTAGAGCTAATTCATTACAATTATTTAACTGACTAATTAGCTGACTTGCTGACTGCTTGTTTGATTAACTAATTGAACTTGCCAACATTTGCTGCTTGACTTGAAAAATATGCGCTTGGCAGAGGCCAAGATACACATATTCTCAAAAGTAGCATTTTTCCTGTGATTTTGGCAACTGTCCAGGTTCAAAACCTGGGTTTTGGAGGGGGGGTATATGCATTCATCGTAGCGCACTACCAATTGCTAGAGTCAGAAAGTCACAACTTTTCAGTACTGAGTTCGTCCATGCAATGCGCTTTCGCAAATCCGTCGCGAATCTTTGGCGGAGGCATCTCAGTGATGGTCGCCGATGCTAACTCCTTCTTAAGGCCCTTAGAACGACTCCCATCTATGCATCTGAAGCTGGAAGATGCATATGGTGATGTATATGTAATATGCAAATGTAAGTGTATGCACATATGCACCTACTATGAATGTATACATGCAATGGTTTATATATAATATGAATATATACTGACCTGTAATATACTTGTATATTGTATAATATATTGATAAACTATGGTATATAGTATAATAAATATGTAATATATATATATATATGTACAAACACACCCCCACCCCTCCCATCCCCGGCCTCGATCCCCAAAGCTCCGCCCGACAGAACGTCCGAGCCGCGCGCCGTTCCAGCTGAAGAGGCTGCGCCGGAGCCGCGCCTGCAGCGATTGGGAGTTTGGGGCGCCTGTCGCGGATGTTGTCTCTTTGGAGCTTGGGAGAAAATGATGGGGGATATTGACATTGAGTTTCAATGGGAGACAACATAATGAAATCCATTGTCTTTGGGTTGCCTGGGAAATGATGGGAATGGGAGATAAGGAAGTATCTTGCGTCATCTTTGCCCCAGCCAAAGCTTTGACTCTGGTCCCTGTTTCGTCGTGGCTCGAGAAGGATGAGAGGGCTTTCGGGTCAAATACAGTAGGCTCAACAGGCACTCTTGGGGGTTGATCAATATTCCTTGTCCCGAAATGACATAGCAAAGAAAATGTATCCAGGATTCTCTCCAGACAGTTGAATTGGAAGGTTTTCGGAATCTAGCCCAAGCAAATCTAAGCATGTTTAAGGGGAGTTTAAGCTTGGATAAGCCAAAATTGAGATTGGATAAGACCCTTCTGAGACCCTGATTTTGATGAAGTTTGAGCTTGGATCCCAGTCTAAGCTTGGATAAGCTCAGTCTAAGCAAATCTAGTATCCTCTAAAAGTTCCTGTGTACATCGTCTTTGAACCTTTTCCCATTGATATAGTGGGAAATTGAAATATCGAATCTGTTGTCGCGTTCTTCTTATTAATCAACCCCCACTTCCCATGAGACGTTTTCAGTAGGTAACACGGCAAAAGTGAAGCCGGCCGCCATCTTGTACCCCACAGCATAGGACCTATGCCTACTGGCCGTCGTTCTGAAGAGCCCTCCCAAGCGAACACACGCCCAGAGGACCTGAAACTTAAAGGTCAACCTCTTGATTTGCGCTTCCAATGCCATGCAGGCCACAAGGATTCTACAAAGGGCTGATGGCTTTCTGCCTGGTCTCATTGGGGCCTCTCTCATTCCAAATTTTGGGGCCGCGACTCGAAAAGGACCAAACAGGGGAGACTAAAACCTCAGATCCGGTCGATTCGCTGATCCGGCCAGCGAGGCTTAGGGCCTACGGGAAGGCGGACACTTGTTCAGTTTTATCGCTTTCCAGACCACACGAAACCAGTGAAACCGACTGCCTGTTGAGAAGAACCAAGGTTGCAACGGATGGAGCAAAGATCAGCCTCCAAACAAGCTTACCGAAAATAGGGAGAAGCAATCCCATGGCAGGATATGGAATCAACCCCTGCGGGGTTGGAACTCTAAGATATAACTCGTCTTCCCCGTGCAAGCTCCTGGTCCACAGCGTCCAGGAGCTGAAGAGCCAAGGGCCACTGCGAAGCAGTGGGCATGGCACCTTCAAAATGTGCGGGTGTGTGTGTGTGTGTGTGTGTGTCTTGGCTACCCCGCTGCAAAAGATGTGTTCTCCACTTTTTGTGGGTCCAACACGGCAAAATCCGACCTGGTTCAACCAAAAGTTATAAAGTCCAAAGATCCGAACCAAACGGTGTGTGTGTGTGCGTGTTGCTTGAGGGTACACTTTTTCGGGTTGGCTAAAAACGAAACAAAAGAAAAGAAAATCCTCAAATCTTGGGACCCCCCCTTTTGACGCTACAACTTCCTTCTTACCCAAAACAAGCTCTACAACGGATGAATTAACCACTGGCTAGTTCAAACGCGGGTGTCCCAGTTTAGAGGGGATCCACATCACTTTCGGGGGTAACACCCCCAATCCAACAAGACTGAGTTCAGTGTTCATGTCAAGAGCACCACACAAGCATCCCTACGCCAATAACAAATAAGCCCAGGTGGAATCCATTGTGTCTCGAAACAGGATACGGACCTCCGATCTCCCCCCCCCTACATTCAAACAACCTGCCTGCTCCAAGAATTCAAACTCGCCCAAAGAATCTGCTTCAGCCAGGGTCTCATGGAATTTGGCGCCTGCAAACCATCGGAGGGATCCCCTGGCTCAAGCTGCTTCTCTCATGGCAAAACCCCTCAAAACCTCATGAAAGACATGGTCAAAAACAACCAGCTGTTCCGCCTAACAACATGGGAAAATGAGGGCTCGTCTCCCGTTTTGTTGGCGAAACCTCCCCAACAACCCATGGACTAAGACTGTTGACCAAACCTGCGGCTTGCTGTCCGCCCATCAAACAGGACCAAAGCGGCCACGCCTAACGCAGACCGAATACTTGGTGAAATCGGGGGCCGGTCGGTGAGGGAACGACGGTCGCAGAGAAAAAGGAGCTTTGAAACCCACCAATAAAGCGGACCAAACCCACTAAAAAACGTGAGAAAAGTCCGACAGGACACGCAAACTGTCCAAGAAGTCCTTCACGTTGGGACAACCCGCCATGCAACATGCAACACGTGGTGTTTCTGTCGGCCAACCACCCTCCCAGAAAGACTCAAATAAGCCAAAACTGGAGGTGTGGGTCTAAAAGGGGCAGGGTACTTAGTAAGTGGTTAGTAACCATGGTTTTGGCACACTTACCATCTTTGTAAATCTCCCAAGTCGGCTAAGCTACAACCATGGCTAGCAGCCACTTGATGCAGTCACGTACCTGCGGCCCTAGGAGTTTTACGAAGCGAAGGTCGCCGAGGCGCTGTTGAAAGTAATGACATTCGGCTGAAGCGTTCTGGACACAAAGCCCAGCAAGTCTAGCGCATCGTCCCATCTGCCCGACCTCTGACAAAAGCATCGCCCAAAAGCGATCGCCCATCTGCCAGCCAGCCCGCCTCCCCCTCCCTCTCCCCTGGTATGAGGGACACTCAGGGCCGATGTTGAAACCACCTTCATCTAGGGTAGTGGCTTGCTAGGGCTGTCCGCAAAGATGCCAAGCATCCATGGCACTCGTATGATCCACCCCCAACAGGTTTCAAATTGCCAGGCGACCTTTGGGCCAGTCGGCCGCTAGTGGACTTCGAATCAAACAGCTGGGGGAACAAAACCCTCCGTGAAATCGGTAGCAATCCCCAACCAAGAACCATACTCAAACCAGGAAATCCAGAGGCGAACAGTCGGCCCTTGGCAAAAAAAAAGTATGACAAACCAACTGGAGACATAATTCCAGCGCCATGAGAAAATCCAATAACTTCAATTCTTCTTGGTGTCACTCCAAAATGCACCCTTTTCCATTCTCCAACCATCTTCCCCACTCTCCTTTCCAAGCCCTTGTGATACCCCAACCCCCAACCTAAAGAAAAGCGCTCCATGGCCCTCTAAACGCCTCATGGCCTCGAGAACTTCTAAGCCGCACGGCTGATGCTTCCGTTGCACCTGCAGGCTCGTGCGCCTTCCCCTTTTGGCTTCCCCTATTCCGAGGGTACCGAGCCCACCCAGAAAAGAAAAAGAAGAAGAAAAAACACGGGGCCGGGTGATTCGAGGCACTCTTTATATGAGCCCCGAAGTGCGAAGGTTGCCGGAGGGCGCCCTCCTCCTCCCCCACCGCAAGGTAGACGCCCAAATTATGTTTTCACTGACATGTATGGGTGGTTCTCCAAATGGGCGCCCTAAGAAAGGGTCTGGTTCCCGGCTTTCGCGAACACCGAAGCTCCGAATCTTCGAAACCCCAACCCCGTGGCCAAAAGAGTTCTGCCTGCTTGGTACCTTGCCCACTCGAGGCCGTGCTTGGTGAACCTTGAAATCTAAAATAGACTCGAAAATATTCAAATAAAACAAACACCCGATTTTACTTCATTGGCTACCGAGTATAACTGGGAAGGCAAACAGAAATGCACGAGTGGGTCCAATTTTGGGTTCTTTCTCAAAAAAAGGCGGCCCCCGAACCGGTTTTCCGTTTGTTTCTCCTTGACACCAACCCCCAAAACGAAAACGGCATACCCATTTCGTGGACCTTAAAACACCTCAAGGAATGTCCAAAGAGATCGAAAGAAGAGGCCTGCCACCTTGAGCCCGGCGGCTCTTGAAGCACCGCCCCCGCGCTGTGGCAGCAGGCGGCGTCGATGTCATCGGAAAGCAGCCGCGCGGAGCTGTGCCAGCTCCTACGGGGAGTTTGCTTGCGACTTGAAAGTCGCCTCACTTGCACAGTGTCCTTTGAGGGCAAATAGCCAGCGCCCTAGTAGATGATTAAACCACCAGGTGAACCAGGGATCGCCACCTATTTCTCTACCAAAACAACCAAAAAGGACACCTATGCTCACTTGGCTGTGGCTCAAAAACATGTACCAAAAGACCAAAGCCACAACCAAGTGGCACATGTACCAAAGCCACCTGGCTCAAGGCACCTTGGCAAATGGAACCAAAGACCGAAACCTGCGATTTGCCCTAGCTCTTTTGTTTTGAGCCATACCCATTCCAAAGATTGGCTGAACGTCCGAATCTCGGTGAATGGCCCAGACCCAAAAAGGAAGAAGGGAGGAAAGCCCACTAGCTAAAAAGAAGTCTGGGCCGTCCGTTTTCAGATCCCCCGCTAAAAGTGACTAACTTTTAGTGGGTGAAATGGAAACCCCCACTAGACGCTGAAAAGCTAAAAAGCTAAGGAACCGGATGGCTGGGAGCCACCAAGAAGTGAGCCGGCGCAACATTTCAACATGAGAAAAACCAAACAAAACAGGCCTTGAATCGCACCCTGAAGCCCGGCGGGGAAAAAAAGAGACAAAAACGGGCAGCAGTGAGCCAAAAGATCGCCGCATCCCAAATGGGGGGGGCTTGTTCGCGTGGTTGCTTTGGTTTGGCGTGGTTTTTGGATGCCTCCTTGGATTCCTTCAGTGCCAGAAAACCAAGCTCAAGCACTGCAATTGGCGGAATCTATGGGATTCGACATCCAAACTGTCGAGAGTTGAGGACATGTTCAGCAGCCCAGGGAGGAAGTGATGCAAAAGACGAAATCATTCTTGAGGTTTACTCCTATCATGACATCGTAGGAGTAGGGTGGAGCTTCAGAGCTTCGGTGAAAATTCAACTCCATGAGCTGCAAGAGTTCGTCAAGGGCTCCGCATTGAAGTGCCATTGAAATGACCATCTAAATTGTTCCAGGAACTCGGCCGATTTCCCCTTTGGCTTTTTGTGATGGAAATTCGGGGAGAAAAAGCCCCAAGCGACGACACCGCTATCGTAAGCAAATTGCGGCATTACAACGGTCTACCCAAAACCATGTGAAGAGATAGGTTACCTTCATCTCCCCATTGTTGGAGCAACAGGTTCCATTTGATCATTGTCAAAGTCACCCCTTTGGTTGGGGACACAACCCCCAGTTTCTGACTTTGATCCCCGGAAACAGTCAAAACTCCTGACCGCAACCAAAGCCTGCCACATGCCTCTGTGCCATCACCAGCGCAGAGCGGCAGGGCGCGTCCAACGTGCCGCCCTCGCCTAGCAAAGCACTGCCGCAACGAACGGCTCGCGGGAAAAACAGGCTCCTCCAGGCATGCATCCAACAACCAGCTGATTCACAAAGGATTCGGATCCTCTAAATCACCACAAAAGTGTGTTGAAAGAAAATTAATTACTCATCTCAACGAACCAAGCGAACGATGCAGGCGCCTGAACAGTGCTCCGGAGTGGTTGAGGGATCAATCCGGGGAATATGGGTGTTGCTCAGCATGGGCGGCTCGCATTGTTTTTTCCAATACGCTAGCCGGTTTCAAAGGAAAACCGAAAAGAAAACGACGGTTTGGGGCCGGGGGGGGCCGGGGGGTCCGCCGAAAAGAACGCATCCAAATAGGGGTGGCCTTGTTAACATATTACCCGCTATTTTTATTCTGAAAGCGGAACCACACACGCAAAGAGAGAGACCTCCCGTACTCTCCACTTCAAGAATGAAGCTAGCGAAGAGTTAGCAACCACGGCTATTCCCCCCCACAGCATGGTTGCAAGTCCCCCTTCCGTGGGTTGTAACCATGGTCACTTGCCGCTTGCTAAGCACTCTACACCTTGAAGTTGTGCATGAAAATGTCTCGCATCAACCTGGAAAGCGCTGTGAGGAATCCCCTAAGACTTAATTTCCCTACTGAAAGGAAAAGCATCCCTTAGTCCTTAGTGCGGTCCTCGTTGAAATCGGAGAACATTAGCTGGGATCTTTCTGTGAGGTGAACACTCCAAACCCAAACTGACACCTATCCTTGACAGAAGGTACCTAGGCAATTACCAAATGACCCAGTTGACCCCCCCCCCATATAGTTGGAGTGGGGTGGCTCTTCGAAACCATAGTAATGATCATAAGATAATGCGTGTAGCTATTTAGCCCATTCTGTTTGATAGAGGATGCTTTGGTGCACATCACTTACGTGGGGATTCAGGTCAACCAACCACATTCAAGAACCATATGGCCCAGAATCGGCCCTTATTCAAAAATTGCTTTTTGTGGGCCTTGACATTCTATTGCCTCTTGCTGTCCCAAAGGGAGGTTCCCCGATTTTGAGGACAGACCCATGTGGATGGACAAACTCCATTTCGCACCACCGTTCAGAAACCCTGGCTTCTCATGATTCCCCATGGGAAATGCCCACAAACTGTCTGGCTTCCCCTTGTTTTGCGCGAAATGGCTGTGGGTCAAAACCAATGGTACCATTTTGGGGTAGGTGCACCACCCATTTTAGTCTATAGTGGGGATTGGGAACTGGGGGTACGATTTGGATTTTGGCCCCCCCCCACCCCAGAAGAAAGTGGATTCGCAACCCTCCACCGTATCACCAAAGACCCGCAGAAGCCGCCGCGCCTTCAAAGGCCCTCGTTTGCACCAGCGCCACACGCCAGGCGCCCCGCAGCGCCTTTCTTTTTTGACGGGGCAGTGGGTGCGGGGGTGGTCCAAGCCGTAGATTTCCAAAACGACACCACCGCAACCTGGAGTTGGTATCCTTTTTGTTTGTATTATATTTGTTCAAGGAAAACGCAGGGGGGCGACTGTAGCACGAAAACAACAAGATCGCTTGAACCCTGTAAAGGCAACAGCTAGATCACTTGGCCAAACGACCAAGGAACTTCTGAAAGAAGTGAGAAAGCACTTGTTGAAACGGATCCGAAACCCAAGAGGTCAAAAGGGCAGCAAGGTTCCTTAAGTCTCCGTGGTGGGGGTTCCCCCCTGTGCCCAAGAAGCACCCCGGAGCGTCCCTTGGAACCTTCTAGGAACCTGCCCCGAAGACAGGATTGGCTAAGACCGTGCAGCTGCCGCTGAAAAGATGTCGTAGTTGAAACTAAGCGAATCCCGTGGACTTCAACCAACCAACCAGCCAGGGTCAGCCCTGTGCCAGGGCACTAAAAAACAAAAAAATAAGTCTATGTTCAACCAAATCGACCTATAGGATCCCCGGGCTTCTATAGGGACTCGAGAAAATGGATGGCACCGAAACACGAAGAATGAAGGGATCCCTACCCCTGCCCTGGCAAGATTGTCCGTTGCCAATTGAGCTCTTTGCGTCTACCAATTTGGTCATAAAGGCTACTGCCCACCTTCCAAGTGGTAGAATTCCTTACTACAGTGACAGCCAGAACCCTTCAGAGGGGAAGGGCACCCTGTTTGTTAGGTAGTTGGTTTTAAAGGGAAGCCCTCTAAAACAAATAATGAATCGACCCGAGGCGTATCCCCAACAGCTCAGGAAGTGGAAAAAGGGAAATGCCAACTACTGGAAGTCTAGCTTTTGAGCACCTCGTTGTCCACGTAAAGAGCCAGATATGATATCTCCGGAAAGGGCAACAAAGATGAGGAAGAGCTGGCATGCAGGATATGTCAAGGCCAGAACGCGAGCTCCGGAATCTCACCATAACTTGGCCAGCGCCGCTGACCGAGATGGCCCCTGTGCTGCTGACCTTCCGAGTTTTGGTGGGACTTGGGGCTAGGCCTCCAGATTTGGCTCTACCTGGCTCCTTGGCATATCCATGGCGAGCAAACGCTGAAGACATCCCGACCCACACGGAACCTCCCAAAGTGGTGGACTTCCCCAAAAAAACAAAACGCGACCCCCAAAAATCGCGCTTCCCTCCAAAAGACCTCCCCTTCAGAGGGGCGTCTCGGCGACCCGCTCCGCACCGTCACCGCCGCGGTGTAGCTGATGGCGTCCCGCCGCGCGCGGGCGCAGCGCATGCGCCTGGCCGGAAGAGAGACCCGTGCGTAGATCGAGGAAGCCCTAAGAACAGATCATTTTGAGATACGTCAAAATTAAACCACCAGGGGGCAGCAGGTTTTAGCCCTTGTTACTTAACAGGGAAAGAAACACAGCGAACCAGAAAACAGGGGACAGCAGGTTTTCGTCCTTTTGGGTACCTATTTTTGACCCACAGCCATTTCTAGGGGAAGACCACTCGCACACATGCCTTCCGTTTTCCTCGTAATCTCCACTTGAAGGAGCAGGTTCTTAGTGGCCATGGTAAAAAAAGAAGATTGGGGGTTGCCCACCATGCTTGGTGGGTGACAATCATGGTGGCTGACCACTTTGCCACCGTTTTTAGTGGCTCCCCTGCTGACACATACCCATTTTGTGAACCACTCAAATGATTGACACACCAACCACTCAAATTTCGGGTGTCCCCAATTAACGTGCATAGGAAACCATCGTTTGTTGGTATTAACAGGAGAATCACAACAAGCCAGGGTTTCTGAACGGCGGTGCGAAGTGGACTTTGTCCATCCACAGCATTAAAGTGCGAAATGGATACATCAACCACTCAAATGATGCATACACCAACCACTCAAATGATGCATACACCAACCACACTCACATTTTCTGGGGTTCCCCACTAAAAATGCATAGGAGTTTCTGAGAACCCCCCCCCCTTTTCCCTGGGCCCGGGCCAAGTCGCCGCTCCCCGAAGGCTCGCCTCAGCCAGCCCAGCGCCTGCGGCCAGTGCCTCACCGCGCGGAGGGCGCCGTTGAAGCCTCGAGTGGTTTGCCCGGCCGCCTGGACTTCCCACTTGGACGCGCTGGGGGCTGGAAAAAACTGGGTACCCGTATAAACCCAAAGGAACCCAACTGTTATCTTGACACATAAAATCCGGAGGTCCGCCTATTTTCACACATACCCAAGAAATTGAGAGGTTGATGTTTGATGGAACCCCAACGACAGCTGAAAACGCCACACCAGAAGGCACGCTCATGAAAGGATGGGCGCAAGGAGACGTTTACATCTAACAAGGAAACCATCTACAAATGTCCACAAGCTCAAAGCCTGAAATACAATCATCCCGCCTGTGCTTTCTAGATTGTAGATGGGTCCGTCTCAAAATCGGGGGCGCCCCAAAAAACCGGATGCTTTCTTGATGGCTTCCCGTTCAAACCAACCCATTTGGGGAGCGTGTCGTTTCTGAGAGAAACGTTTGGTTGCTGTTGAAGGGAAACCAAAGGGAAACCACTGGTTCGGTATATTGAGACATCCCAGAATATCTTCAAGTATCTTCCCTGGCTTTCTGGAGTGGGGGAAGCTTTGATGGATCTGACTTCAGGTTTATCCAAAGGGCAAAAAATCCGAAGAACCGCCATATGGTCCTCCGGAAAAATTCCGCAGTCGACATTACCCTAAAACAAGCATGGCGCGCACAGTTGCCTTTCTTGGGCGACGGCTTTTAGAAAAGGGGCTTGCGCGTGTCTTTGTTAGCGGACGGGTAGTAGATGATGCGAATGGACATTACATTAATCCCAGTAAGAACGATGAGAGAACTGCGACAACAAGGAATTCCAGTCTTCTTAAAGGCTCAATTGGACAGTACATTAATCCCAAAGATGTGCTTTCATCGTTGATCTGGGCTTTGTCTCAAAACTGGGGAGGCCGTCAAGATGGCTCGCATCCTTTTGGCTTCACCTCCTGAAGGCCATCAGCGGCCTTAGAATAGGAACCCCCTCCACCCCTGGCAAAAAATATCACTTTCAAACCCGCCTTAGCCTTGGCTACAACCTTCATTTAAAACACAAACTCCAAACCAAAGGCGAACTCGAAAAACCCGCTCTCCAAACGACCCAACGCCGGCCCCCTGGCTTAGGACTCCGGCCAGTGCTGCTGGGATTCGGCGCCAGGGCGCCGGCGCGCAGCCTGCGGAGCGGCTCCCGCATCGATGGCTGGGAAATCCTTCGAGCGCGCCACGACATGTGACATGAGTCACCATGGCGGTTGTTGTTTCGTGGTTTCTGCTGGTAGTGCTTTGTGGTCGAAAGATCAGAATCATCATTCCAAGGTTGGTTCGCTACGGCAGTTACAGGGGAATCATCAGCAGCCAGGGTTATCTAAACGGTGGTGCAGGACTTCGTCCATCCACCCTAGTGTACCTCTGTGTGTCTTTGCGTGTGTGTGTGTGTTTTTTCCCGGGGGGCGAGGGGGGGGATGGGGGTGGGGACCCAGGTTTTTTCCCAGCCCAACTGTTGTTTGGATCCCAAAACCAAGTCAGAGAGTCAACAAAAAACAAGGGCCAGACCAGGCCAAGCACAAGATATATGTATATGGCGCCTGGTTTCAATGTTTAAAAACCATGGCTGTCACAGCTTCTAGCCACTGACCTGACGCACCCGATCGCACCTCGTATTTGAGTGCCATGATTAAACCAAAACCAACAGGTTGGGTTCCATATCAATCCGAGGAAACCGGAATCCCTGATAGGGAGAACACAAATGGGTTGCTTTCCTTGTCTCCCCGCAAACCCAACTAGAAAGGGCACAGAGTCTGAACGCAGAGCGCAAAATGATTAAAGCCCTTTGAACATATGGGTGTGTCCTTCTTGGCGATGGGTGGCTTCCTTCCAAGACAAGAATGTGCTTCATTTTTTCGGGGCCCCAAAAATGGCTTCGGGGTTCTCATTTGAGCGTTCCATCAAAACCTACAAAAAGGTGGAATCTTCTACAGGTTGATTCCCCATTCTTTTCAACCATCGTTCTTTTCAAAAACCGATCGTTGAATCATCCCCTGAGTTGTTGATGGTTTCCTGAAAAGATTCGCATCCCTGGGTCCAGAATGGAAGATCGGCACCCCTGGAATTTCGCGCCACTCTTCAAACCAGGGGAAGCCAGAAAGCTGGTTGGCATTTACGTCGGGGGAATCGCCAGAAGCCGGGCACTAGGAATCTCCACCCTCCCCGCCGCGCCAAAACCCGCCGCCGCCAAGACCCGCCGCCTTTCGAGCAGCCCCCCGCATCTTCGCCAGGCCGGCTCCGTCTTCGCAGAGGCGCTGAGGACGCCTTCGGAATGAGTCCGCCGCAGGGGGGGGGGGGGTGGGGGGGTTGTGGAATTTGAATGGGTCCCGGACCCGGTGGACAGCGTTTAGGGAAGAAACATGTCCACCAATCACTGTGGAGCTTTGGTTCCCCAATTGAATTCTTAGCCACGGAAGGGCCTCAACGGTCTGAATGGGGCGGGGTGCTTCCATAGCCTTCATTGAGGGTTGACCAACCCCATCCCGGTTATTTGCATGGTTGTGTGAGCTCGACGTTCTGCAGGTAAGTGCCACTGCGGGGGCGGGGGAACGGAGGAGGTCCTAATGTCTCTCCTGACCAAAAGGACCCACAGCCCTTGGTGTCGGTTCTTCAGGCAAAACCTACTTCAACTGAGTCTGCAAAAACACAGACGATCCATCCCCTCTTGGTGTCCTTCAAGGCAGATTCAAAATTCATGCGCTAGTTGAGCCATGGTCAAAAATGACCTGCTTGCCCACGAGGACGTGGGAAACCCAGCGAGCAAGCTCCCTACTTGTAGACAAGCTCCGAAGCCATGGCCCTCCCAAATCGACACTGGACATGTTGACCGAACCTCGGTTGCAAGCGGCCCCAGCAGTCTTTGTTAGTAGGGGAACCCGGGCAAAAAGGGCACTACTGGGGGACCTAGTTTCTCTTGGGTCACCCATTTCTCATTCCCTGAGTTCGCACCGATCGCAACTTCTTCTTTTCCTTTGGCCCCCGGGCTGTTGATGCAAATCTCCGACAGCACCGGCGCCTGCGGCGTGGGACCCGGGGGCCATCCGATGCCATCCGGCCTCTCCCGCAAATCCCCGGTTGGGTGCGCGGGACCCTGCAAACAGAAGCATTTTTCTTTTTTGGCCAGGAAACCACAGGGAAACCAGCTACAACAGTCCAGCACCTGGGGCCCTGAACTATCTTCAAAGGATGCTTCAAAGGGGAGAGAGGGGGTATACAAGGGGAGGCGGACGCTGAGCCACTGAGTAACTCCCGGACGCGGCCTTCCGCAGCAAATCCGTGGCTTCGCGCCACAAGGAACTCTTCTCGCAGGCGTTGAGCGCCGCCCCCACGTGGAAGACGTTCACCTCCACCTGGGGCCGCTTGAGCTGGTGGGGCAAGCCTTAGGTCAGATCCAGTCGCAGGCCCTGGGCTTCAACCCACTTGGACCCAAGAGAAGCACACCTTCGGGCTTGGCAACATCCTGTTGGCTGTACCATCCCCGTCCTGTTCAGGGTTCCTACTGTTCAGCACTTCGCAAAACCAAGGGGAAGATTGGCGGCGGTGAAGAGAATGGGGAATCAACCCTCAGACTCACATGAGTTCCATCAACTGACACGTGCTTTAAATCCCCACACCTGGGTTGGATGGTTTGGGAGGTAGCACCCCCTACCTTCTCCTCTCCCCGCACATTGGCACCTCAAGTCCCTGGAAGACATGGGGACCAATTGCCTTCCAGGCGCCAACCAATGAAAAGCTTGCGGCACGTTCGCGCCTCGGCCCCCCTGGCTCGGCCAATTCCATTTAGAGCGTGGAGAAGGGTCCAAGACACACTCAAAGGAGGCGTGGAGTTGAAGATGCAGAATACACACGAAGCGCAGGAACGCCAGAAAAAGAAAAAAAGGAAAGAAAAAAAACTCAAGCAATGTTCAATCCAAAGGAACCCAAAATGGGTGTCGTGTGTTTGGAGGCTACTTTTTCCACCGTATCCCGGCTTCCCAGGACAGCTCGCTCCGAGGCCCCATCCGCCGCGTGGCTTAGCGCCTCCCGGGTAAGGAAAGGAAACCAAAAGGAATGGACACGAGTTGGTCTGAAAATAAGGAGACCTGGAAATAGTTGGTTTCGTTTTAGAGAAAAGGGCAATTAATCTTTTCACACACACACACACTATTTGGACCATTCGGAGGAAAGTTGTCCACAGACACACATTCACCCATATGGACCTGGTGGTCTGGGAAACAAATCAAACAGGAAGCCAACAATTTGCAGAGGGAGGGTTGGACAGAAAGGGGTGTCGCAACATAGGATATGGGCATCTCTTTCGGGAGTACCCGTTTTGCCAGGATCTTGCAGGAACAGCCAAAAACAATTCACCAACAACACTTGGAGTCGGTTGTATTGAGACATTCACGGAGTGTAACGAGCCCCATCCAAAAAACAAAGTGGGTTTCCCCGGTTTCCCCTGTTTCCCTTTGGTGAAGCACCCCAAGGGTGCCCATCATGGCCATGGTCCTGGCGGAACCCTTGATGTCTAACTTCAAAGGGTCCATGACCGTCCAAGTATTTTGAAAAGCCCGCGCCACATACTTTCATTTGTGTGGATTGAATTCGTCTGAGCGTTTTGAATTTCGGTCTCCTAGTGGCTTCCCTCCACTGCTTCATACCAAAGCCCAGGGGCCAACCCGATCTCAGGGCCATCAAGCAGCGCCCCGGTCACCCTTTGGTGATCCAAATCTTCCTTCGGAGCTTCAATAACCCTGCGGCGCGGGGGAGTTCGTGTGAATGGGCTACCATGGGCTACTGCCATGGGCAGAAGGCCATGCCTCTTGGCCCCCCGCTGCCCATGCTCACACAACTCCCAACCTATTCTCCTGACATGGCCTAGGTACTTCAATGCGTGAAACCGGTAAGGGCAGGCGGGTAGAATGCTATGAGCTCGTTGGAACCTTTCAGAGAAAAAAAAGCGTGCGTTTCCGGGAATTGAGAGAGTCCCCACATGTAGCTGCCCAAATTGGATCATAATCTTTGCTGACCATACTTTGAGTTCACCAATCCCGTCCAGGACCTGCCTCTTGCCGACCAAAATGGGTCCAAGCAACGCCTTCAAAATTGCCCGCGCCAAAGGGCGGTTTACAAAAAACCCGCCTGAGAACCTCTCAACTTCACAGGGGCCACAGGCCGGGGGTTCCCGATTCATTCAATCAGTATGCAAGACTCTACCCTTACGACAGGCCTCTCGGAGCCCAACCTCGGTTTACTAGAACCCCTGGTTGACTTTGATTGGGGGTGTCCGCGTTTTCCGCGTTGGGGGAACGCAACCTAAAAGAAAACTGGTTCTACTTAGATCCGGGGGCAACATTACCTAGATTTCAAAGGCCACTCGGCTGGGCACCAACTTGACTCGTGGCTCGAAAAGGGATGCCCCAAAATACCCGCTGGTCTCCCTGGACAACCACCAATGGTCTCCCTGGAACACCACCAAAGGGGGGTGCCCTCAAGAGAAAGACAGACCCAAGGGCAGTAAGCCGATTAGTCAGTTGGGTCATCAGCTGACAAAATTCCGAGTTTTCAGGCCCGCCGGCAAGTTGCGTCAAGGCCGTGTCGCGTCTTTTTTTGGATGGTACCCTTTTGGGGCGGGCTTTTGAAGGGAAACAAGAAGGGGAAATTTGCAGGGTCTGAGAAAAACATCAGGGACACCGTTCGCCAAAGTTCCGGGCGTTCACCTCACAACGGCTTGGAGACGCAACTCTGTGGGTTTCCTGAACCATCCTGCGTCCCAAGGAAGAAACCACGCTCTGTTTGGGTTTCCAATCGCACGAATCCTTCCACGAAAATTCGACCAGCTTCTCCTTTGCCTTTTTGCTGAGTATATCAACCAACAGTTGCGAAAGCTGGTTTTTTGTTGCCCAGAGAGTAAGTACTCCTGGTCAGCAGGGATCCGAAAGGATCCCAAACGAACGCCGCTGTAAGAGCGGCACCGGACCCTTTTTGGGCTAGGTGCTGGTTATCTCAATTTGGTAAGGACCAACCAGTTGTTGAAACCCACCCTTGCGGGTAGCACCTGGTTATCTCAATTTGGGTATGTCTTTTCGTTGATGGTACCCTTTTAGGGTCTTGCCAAGGACGAAAAGCTGAGAACAGCTCGCGCTCGCCTCGAGAACTTGGAGCGCCAGATCTCCGCGCCGCTCCTACTGGCGTGAGGGGCAACAACATCCCGTGTCAAGGAAGAGGAAACCCAAACAATCTTCAAACCACAAAAAAGTTAAAGTCTAAAGATGCATGGAACTGAGGAACTGACCATGGAACTGACCATGGAACTGAAAAATGGCTGAATTGTTGTTCTAGGTCCTCCAGATTTGAGAGGTTAGAATAAGTTGGTACCCGATGTTTTTTTCTGGTTTGTCTATTTTAGTAGGGGGAACTGTCCCCCCAAAAAAGAAATGGTAAAAGGGCACTACTGGGGGACCTAGAAGAGGCAACCCAAACAATCTTGAAACGTCTTGAAACCACAAAAACGTACTTTTACTTTTCAACAACTTAAGTGGCTTTTCCAAGGAAGGCTGGACAAACACGCTCTTTCAAAAAACATCCGCGGCCGTCAAATCCGCGGCCGTCAAAATGGATCACTTAAAGAACCTGGGGCCCGCTTCAGGCGAGGGACCCCAAGCTGATGAGGGTGGCCTATTGCAGGCTTGCTTCGCGCAACGGGTGCGACTTCCTCAGCGCCACAAATGGCCCATGGCCCATGGGTTTCTGAAGCCAAGGAGTGGTTCCAACAGACTTGGTGGACGTTAGAAGGGGAGCAAAAATTCATTTTTTTGGCAGTCAAGAGGTTGGAGTTCGACCACTAAACCACAATAAGCAAAAATGAAAAAAGGTTTCCCAACAACAACCATGCAGACCCCTTCGGGAAAACAGCGCTTGCGCAACCCACACACAGCCATTTGTTGAAGCTCGTGCTCAGCTTCCCCAACATCTCAGACGCACCCTCCAACTGCGGGGGCAATTTCAACGGAGACCTCTGGACCCCTTGCAAAAGGCGAAGCAACTCTATAGCAGGTGAAGATGGAAAACTAAGAAACCAAGGAGCAACTTGTTGCTGGTTGAAAGGGAAAACGAAGGAACCCCAGGGCAAAAGGGAAAGGAGATCCCTCTCAACGCAGATCGGGAGATCGGGAGGTGTTTCCGTCAATCTGAATGTGAAAGATGTGCTAAGACCCAATTGGCACAAGGACAACAATTTGGTTCCAGGTAGAGGGAAATTAGAGGAAGCTGGGCTGTTCAAGACGGAGCCGGTGTTCCACAATCCCTATAGGGAAGCCACTACAAACAGGACCAAATCCTTGCGGTAACCCAACATGAAGCATCTTGCGGCTACCGTTGAACAGCCCAAAGCCGGGCACCAACATACCCTCAAGGTCCTCGATCCGATCAAATCTTGAAGCGACCCGCTTTCTTTCTCCAGGCCCACACCCGAAACCTTCGCGACCTCGGGATCTGCAAGAAACAGGTGGCCCATCTGCAAAGTGGACCCTAGGCTGGATACTTTGAGCAAACCTCATATGCCCGTCTTTTTCAAGCATCGTTCTTGAGTGGGGTCGTTCAAGAGGAGAAGCCGAACAAAAACAAGCTTGGACCCATCTGGGCTTCTCGTATTTTTGGGGGACCCCGAAAATATGTTCCTTTCTTCCTTTGGGTTTTCCAGTAAAACCACCAAACACGCAAACGCCAACTCCAAAAAGATGGGCCCATCCCTTTTGTTAGAAAAAACCCATGAGGTCTGCGAACGCCCACTGACCCATGGGGGGGGCCACGACGACAGGCCTTGGCCAGCGACTGCAGCACGCGGGTGGCCTGGAGCGAGTTGGTTGCCAGAGTTGTTTGGTAATGTTGACCCAGGGTTAGTAAACCCGTCCCATTCTTCGGGGGATGTTCCCGGTGTTCCTTTCAAGAGTGGTCTGAATCCCCACTAAAAGGGGACACCCCCCGATCAAAATCAACCAGATAAGTGCGTAATCCGGGGTTAACATTATCCCGTAAAACCTTCTGGTTGTTCAACCAACCAACCAACCAACCAACCAACCAACCAACCAAACCAAACCAAACCAAACCAAACCAAACCAAACCAAACCAAACCAAACCAAACCAACCAACCCAACCCACCCACCCACCCACCCACCCACCAACCACCCACCCACCCAGCCAGCCAACCAACCAACCAACCAACCCACAAACCAACCCACTAACCAGCCAGCCAGCCAGCCAACCAACACAGAATTGTTGGGGAGCGATCCCTCAAGTTGGCTGATAACAAGTATTGACGAACCGGACCCAGCCAGACCCAACAAAGCACCCCGGTGAGAACTAACCACCTTCAGCCCAATGGTCCGCTCCCTTCTGAGCGGTGGTCATTTTCGCCCTTCGTGGTGGGAGTAGCGAGCACCTCACAACGGTCTGCTCTAAATTCACCATCGACGGGATAGTTTGACTGAATCTTGTACAATCCCAAGACAAAATACAGGAACTTGCTTCTCAGGGCACAGGAAAATCAACTTGTCCTGGCTGTTGTAGGACTCATCTACAGTCATATTGTAAGGTACTCAGCTGATCGAAATATGCGGTTCCATTGAAAAAAAGCATGGGACATTCCGTCTAAGAACCATCCGAAAAGGGGGCCCTGATCTTAGCAAGCACCCATGTAGAGGTGTCGCAGAATAGGCCCCCTCCAAATCTGCTCAAAGAAGACCACCCCTTCTCAGAAACCTCCCAAGACACACTTGAGCGGAATGGCCAAATGGTCGATTTTATGTAAGTCCAGAAACTGGGGATGTGGCCATGGGTCAAAATCCCGTACCCCCAGTGAACATCCCTATCCCCATTAAAATAGACTAAAATGGGTGGTGCACCTACCCCAAAAAGGTACCATTAGCTTTGACCCACAGCCATGTGAGTAGCCCTTGAGTAGCCCCTGAGTAGCCCCTGAGTAGCCCCTGAGTGGCCCCTGATTGCCTCCGCCGGCGCGAGGCCCGCCAAGTGCTGCCGCATGCTCGTCGCGCATGGCGGGACGCTTGTGGGACCTGACACAAGGGGCGCGTCATTTTTTGAGGGTACCCGTCTTGGGTTTGCTTTGAAGGGAAACCAAAAGGAATCGCCACCATCTTGGGGGTCCCCTATTTTAGGACACACCCACAGAAGCCCGGCACCTTGGCTAACCCTAGCCTGGTAGAACCACCTAGAATGGCCAAGGTTTGCTCGTTGTTTAGTTTTTTGTTGTTTTTTCTGTATTTTGTTGTTGTTGCTATATATTTATTGTGTATATGTGTTTTTGTTTTAATATTTGATTCTTCTTCTTCTTTTTTGGGGGGGTGGTCATGTGAATTTGCAGGTCAAGTTGGCACCCTTCTTGTTCACCGAGCAAGGAGAGTCCCTAGTGGCTTTTCGTTCTTCGGGTCGCGGAATGCACAACCGTCAAAGGCGGAGAGGCGTGTCACTGAACCTCATACGAGCCGGATGTTGGCTACACTGACATGGTCTACAAAGGTTTATATGGCCATGAATTGTAATAACGAACCACCTCCAAAGTAGTTGGAGGCCACAAATACATCCCGCAAATGGTGTCCACCACAGGTGCCTTGTTAACATTCACACCTATACACGTAGGCTTCACCACCCCCGAAAAAAACCAAAAAAACATGAGCAGTATCTCGCAAGTTGGCCCAGGGTGCCGGGCCTCGTGTGGGGTGCACTCGCTGGTGCCCTTGCTAGGGAGGTACCCAAAACCCGTCGTCGTTTGGTCACATGTTGACAAAGCCGGCAAAGAGGCGGGCCACTCGGTTCAAGTCAAAACGGGGGATCATACTCCGCAATCTAAGGACACCACCGGGAGGGGAAGAAAACGACGATCTCGAATCAGGACTAAGGATGGATTTGGAAGAGCCCAGCCTTGTTGGAACATTTGTGCATGCCTTGTCTTGCGGGCTCTCAGCAGGAAATGAGGGAACGAATTCACGAACCCTGCCTTCTGGGTTACACCTCCCTGGACCTGCGTACCACTTTTAGGTTGGCGTCTGAGGGGAAAACCAATAGGCACCCACCGATTCGCCGCCCGCCTTCGGCTGGGTGCGGAGAAAAGTCGCCCGCGCCAAGACCCCAAACCCCACCCCCCGCTTCGGAGATCAGATCCGGAAGGCGTGCGGTGTGCGGAAGGTCGGGGTCCGAATCTGCCCAGTTGGGCCAACTGGGTACACAGAAAAAGAGCCAATCTTCGGATTCCGGATGAAATAAAGTCTACCCCGAAAATACACAGGGAAAGCGCTGGTTGTTGGTGTTTACAGGTGAATCATCATTCCAGGATTTCTCAGGTTGTGCAGGACTTGTGTGTGTTGTGATTCTATACACTTCCAAACAACTGCGCTGCGAAATCTGATTTTGCCTGCAGGCTACAGCCTATGAAAGCCTTTGCTTGGATCATTTGCAAATATTCTAACCCGGATCCCTGGTCAGGATGGCTCGTAAGGCTTCACCATAGGGAATCCCAGGCTGCATCCCTCAAACTTGGCCATCTGATGGTTCCGTTTCCTAATCCCCAAAACAAAATAGTGAAGGAGGCCCCAGCCCAGAGGCAAGGGATGGGCAATGGCTGTGGGTCAAAACCCAGGAATCCTCTGAACATAAAAATAGGTGGTACATGGGTGTTCATCCGCCTCAAATTGGAGGCATAGGTTATGACCCATGGCCATATCTTCTTTCAAATGTACTCCTTTTTTTAGATTGATTTATTTCGGGAAACCGAAGGGACATCGTTGCCATATGGAACCAAATCCCTCACACAGCATACAAGCCCATTTCGAATTCAACACACGAAACACCTAAACCGGAACAAACCAAAGGGCGGTCACCCAACCCAACCCAATTGGCTGTGGCTCCATGTATGGAAACACAACCCCGGCTGTTTAATTTTGAGTGCCCATTTGCAAATTTCTCAAAGTAGTCGTCCCCTAGAATCCCTGTAAACACCAACCAAAGGGCCATGCTGAGCCTTGCCTCTCAGGGTGTTGGGAATGAACCTAGTGATTCCTTTTAAGGAAACCACGGGGATGGGGTCATTCCAACTCATTCCCCGCCGGTCGAACCCCTTGTAAATTCATAGGGTCTCTTTGCAGTTGCAGTTGGTTCCCTCTTCTGACCCCTTCCTTGCATATCACCGCTTGCAAGGAAGCTCACTCAAAATGGCAAAATCACGTTCAATTCGCCAAAGGAAGATCAGAGGGAAGTCCAAACCACGAAAAACAAAGACAAAAACGTCCGCCCCAATTTCAGTGAGCTTCCACTGCCCAAACATAGCAAGTAAAATTTGAGTGGCTCGGAAGGGACCCCCTTTTGGCTTTTTGGTTGGTGCATACAGGGAAACCAAAAGAACCTCCAAAGCCGTGGGCTCCATAATGCCATATACCAACCATGTTTGGGGACCAAACATAGCTCTTTCGCGGTTTCCCATTGGGGTCACTCGGCTCCATATACCACCATAGGTCTTTCGGGAAACCCATGAGTCACTCCAATTGTGATTCCCTGATCGCACCAGCCCATTAGTGTAACATCAATAAAGCAATAAGTATTACCTCCTTTAACACCATTGTAATTTGCGAACTCCTTGTCAACAAAAGCTGGTGCAAATACTTGAATTTCAGAAATAAATAGTTACATACCCGCGCAGGATCCAAAATCCAGCCGCCGCCCCCGCGGACCGCGGCCGCGCGGTTTTTCTCCAGGCGCCGCAGGCCGCTGTCCGCCAGCTGCGCCAGGCGCCGAGGCGCCCACCGCGCCGGCACCGCGGCGCACACCGCCCCGAGCACTCGGAGAGCGAGCGAGCGGAGCGGAGCGGAGCGAGCGGAGCGAGTGACCCCCCCCCGGAGCTTCGCTGGGGGATGGGGGGGTCGGGGGATGGGGGTGCAGGAAGATAGCTGGATAGCTGGATAGCTGGGGATTGGGGGGAGTGGGGGAGTGGGGGAGGGGGGGGGGTCTTTGGCGACTTTGTTCTTCACCAAGCATTTTGGAACACCAAGCAGTTTAGGGAACCAACCGTCCCCTCTCTTCATGAAGGGTCCCTAAAATTGATGGGTCCCTTCTCCCAGAATACCCCACGAGGTCCATCAGTTTGAGAGACTCCATTGTTTTCTGTTGGTGGCTGGTTGCTTGCTTTTTTCAAACTGCGCTTGGTTCTTACAAAAACCAATCTCGCAAACCGATTTCCGGGGATCGGGGGTTCGAAGAACGGCCTCGGTTTATTAGCCGGAAAATAAGACCAAACTGAAACCAGTTGAACCCGTCCATTTTGAACCAGCCGCAGCCAACGTAGCACATTGCGACATGTATGTTCCACCAAACCGAGTGTCATGCTGTTCATGTTTCTAGTCACCGACCTATCATGATGCAACAAGAGCACGAAAAACATGGTGCATGATTTTCAGTTGGGCCCCTCCAAAGGGCACATCAGACATACAAAAAGAGTTTGTAGTCCACCCAACCATTTAGAGGGCTCCAACCAATAAACAATTCCTATGAGCAGAGCAGCCACTCCCTAGGACTCTGCCCCTGAATCAGGGGAAATTTCTTTGGCCGCAAAAGCAAAAGCAGCTCGCCCTCATCTTTAACTACTTGGCGCTCAGCAGGGAATGAGAAATGGAATGGTCCCGAGAGAAACCATCCCTTGTGGTTTCCTTTAAGGGGACTCCTGGGTTCATACACACATTCGCTACTGAGCACCAGCAAGACTACTATGGTGGACAAAAAATACGCTTCTCGCACCACGGTTCTAGGAAACCCTGGTTTCTGATTCGATTCCCCTACGCAAATAACGATAAACGTTGTGGTTTCAACCCTGGTTTCATTTCGTGGTGCGAAATGGATTTCGCAACCATCCACAGTATGCAGCAAGCTGCGACGAATTGATTTTGGAATGCCAAATTGACCCCCCCCCCACCCCGCCTTTTTGTGGATAGCTTCCGGAACATAGGATATCTATGCTGATTCCCTATTTCCAGGCGTCAATCAACTACAAACCACTGGCAAATTCTGTTCCCTAGCTTTAGGAACTATCCGTATGTACCTTTTTCTGGATAGGGAAGCCTTGTTTCTTTGCGACCCAGTCACGGACCGTTCAAAGCACGCCGATGTGGCCGTGGCTCATAAACACAAAGTACGTATCGTGTAAGTCGGGGCCTTCCTTGGTCCTTAATTTTGAGCTAGAACACTGAGATACATCACCTACTCACCCACCAACTGGTGAGAAGTGGTCATGCACAAATGAATCCTTGGTCAAGATCCACTGTTTGGTTCCAAGGATTGGTCGGGTGGTTCATTCTCATGATACTTTCCGGCAAGTTTCCCAAGCCCATAATTTCTGGCGTACCTGTGGCTCCGTCCCACTCGTACGTCGCCGCTGCCTCCCTCAGAAGTCTCTCTCATTCCAAGCCGCCCACGGCCTCCGCATCCTCCTCGCCTAAGACGAAGAGCGCGAAGTCCCACACGGCCCCAGCGCAGCAAGAGGTGACGACACCTCGGGCCCCACCCACGAAATGCACAAATTCATCAAAGAGTCCCATGAACTTGGGACCATTTGGATGGAAAGCCACCAAAAAGATATGGCTCTCACTACATGGGAGCCAGGAATTTGGATCAACCCAAAAAAGTGTGTCCATTGGTGAATTGCAGCAAATGTGCTCGGCGGAGTTCTAGCTACACACGTCAACCGAGCCACGCACATGTGGGCATTCCAAGCATTAGAGGTTGGCAAAGATGTGTCTAAGAGATGGAGCCTCCAAATGATTAGTCTCTCAACTTTAAGCATCCCCAAGAAGACTCTTCACATGGCCCAATTTGTTTGTTCCCCTTCCCAGCCTGAACAGAAGGGATCCTCAAGTCCTGAAATACCAGTAGCGGAACTCTTCAAACCCCCCAAGGAACCCCCAGAACAAGAGGCCCGCACCCTTCCGTCACCTCCCAGCCCACCTCCCAGCCCTCCCCTCACCCAACTTCTCGGCGGCCTGCGGTCGCCGCGCGGCCGGACGTCGCCGCGGCGCGCGCGAAGGCGAGCGCGGAGCGCCAGGGCGGCCGCGCCGCCAGCGCGGCCTGGCGGCTGGGGCGACGCTAATCGGCCTGGGTTCCACTTGTTGACATCATTAAACCCAGGCGTTTCCCTTTATGGTAAATGGAAAACCCCTGGGTTTAAGTCTACAACAGGGAAGCCGGAACCCTGGTTCCACTACCAAACGGTTTGACGATGCGGCGGTTTTGTTGGATCCACCCCTGTAGAAGATTGAAAGAGTACGAGAAGATTACTAAAAGAAAGGACCAACGGGGGGAAGAACAGGCGAAATCCGCAAAAGGCGCATCCAAACCGCTGTCTAGAGGAAACACGCGCTCAGGGAAAATGGGAAACAGTGGACCCAAGATTTAGACTCTGCATGGACAATTAATCCACTTCGCGCCAGTTGGTGTGTTCATAGCGGGGGTATTTCTCCCAACTGGTGCAGGAGTGTGTGGCATTGAGGGGCGTGTTGCGTGGTGTTTGGCACTGGGGCAGGCGGTTTGGCGGACATTCAGAATCTTGCTTCTGGGCCAACTTGGCTCGCAGGGAATGAGTTGGACTGACCCCGAGAAAAACCCACTGGTGGTTTTCTTTGGGACTGGGTTCCTTCCGAAAAGCGTTTCCGAGAACCAGCACCCCTCAATCCGTGCAATCCCATGCCCCGGAACTCCATTGCTTGACCAATGAAAAACCGGGAGGCGAACCGTGGGACCTGAAACTTGCTCAAAAACGACATCCTTATTGTGACATATACTCATCGGGGTTGACCAAAAGGTCCGATGAACATGGGAGGACCAAGAGGGAAACCCACCAAACAGACGATAGCTCAACCGCAAAATTGCGAAAAGCTGCCCTTTGCCATTCGTGAAAACTAGGCGGCCCTAAATGGAATATTGATCAAACCGCACATTTGGGCAACCCAATCCCAACTTTTCCAACCTTTCACCGTGCTCACGTCCCGACGCCTCCAGGCTGAGGCGGTCCGCCTGAACCTGGCAAGATGTGAAGCGTGCCCGGTGGAGGAAGTCGCGACTCCAACTCGTCTAGGAACCAGCACAGGGCACAAAAGACCTTCGAGACGACAAGAAAGGAAAATCATCAACACCTTGCAAGCACACAAACACATGCACAAAGCGAGGCGAGAGAGAGAAAGAGACACGTACACACACTAGAGACATACGCGCACACACACACACAAGAGAACAGTGAGTCACAATCAAAGCCTGGTGTTAAAGAAGGGGGGGTTAACCAACACCTATCGTAGAGAATCAAATGGCTCGTTGATATCCGCCTGTTTTTCGAACGACCACAAACCTTGAAACAACAGCCTCACAAATCAACCTGGCAACCCTGGCGGAAGCTGACAAAACCTTGCAGGACCTCACCACACATGTGTATATATATATATATATGTATATGTATACATATATATATATATATACACATCCATGTATGCACATATGTGTATATATATATATATATATGTGGCCTGCCTGTCTATATATATATATATATACATACATATATATATATATATATATATATTGCCTCTATATATGTTTAAACATAATATATGGCCTCTATACATATATATATATATATATACATATATAAACACGCGCCCACGGGCCCAACCAATCGGAACCAGACTTTCTCGAGAGGCCGCAGCCTGGCTGCGCGCCATGCATTTCAGCAGCGCGCCGGCCGCTCTCCAGGCACCCATTGCGGAGGTCCCCAAGCCGTCGGCGGAGCAAGCGGCCAGCGCCGTGTTGCACAGCAACCCGCTCCTATCGCTTCGATTCCGAATGATTCACAGGGTGAAGGTCTTTTTTGTTTGGCAGGGGCTCGACTCGTTTGGCCAAGCCATATTTCCTGTGTCTGAAAAACCCTAGGCCTCCAAAAGGCCGAGTTCCATGCTAGGTTCCGCGTTAGTTGGTTCCAATTGCTTGTTCCTTTGGTCTTTACATGGGGGGGTCAAAAATAGGAGAAACCCAAAATGGCTTGCCCTGGTAAATGCAAACATGGACTAAACCATGCGGTCCCTTGGTGCTTTAATTTTGACCCATACCCTGATTGGAGCCGTGGATTTCGGGTAAGCCCAAACTTCCCGTCGAAAAGCTTATTCTGGTACGTAGGCTGCAATGCATTTAGAGGGAGTTGTTGCAACATACTGCAGGGGCCTATTTTTCACAAGGCGGGTTGTGGGGGATTTGAAACCCAAGCTATATAAGTTCATAAGAGAAGATGTTGCTTCTTTTTCAGCTTTGTACATGACCCTCCCCCAAAGCGCTCCTCCTCGGCCCCAGTGCGCCGAATGCCCGCCGCCAGAGCTGCGCAAAGCCCAGGGCCGCAAGCAGCGCGCCGCGGGCCGCGGACGAGGCGCGAGGCAGCCGCGCCTGAGTCCGAAAACAGGCGACGCCTTCCTCGCAGAAAAACATGGAGTTAGAAACCCCCAGGAAGGGACCCCCGGTCAAACAGCATCCTCTTAAGGCGCAAGGAACCCGAGTCCGGGAATCTTGCGTCAGGTGCTATGTCAGTGGGGAGGATATAGCTAAAGTTGTTGTTGCTGATGATTTTGCTGTTGCTGTTCATGCTCACTCCGCAGTGCATTTGCTTGTTTTGAGAGCTCAAATCGGCAGTATTGCCGATGTTTTATCCTTGGTGTCCAGTACTTAACTTACGATTGCCAATACGCATAAATGAATTCTTAAGCTCCGAGATAAATATGGGGTCGACATTACCCTCACAAAACAGGGACTTACCCAGCTTGACCCTAGGTGGCAGTCCGTTTGCACAGCAAAAGCACGATGCAGATGGAAGTATCCCTTTCGCCAAATGGAAGAGTTCCCCTCCAAAAGAAAGCTGATTCCCCCCATTTCACCCAGGAAACGCACCAGGACCCCTATTTAATACACTGGTTGGTCAACCTTATCCAACAGAAATACCATATGTAGTGAATTGATTTCCCTTCAAAACCAACAAGGGACAAGAACACCTCATTCATGTCAGCCAATGATCCCCACATCTCAACCAGGGGAAGTCACCGAAAGAAGAGAAAACACGCCTTTCTTTCAAGATCTGGGGTTGATAAATGTACAAATCCGGGGTCCACCACAAATCCCTTTCATCTCTCAAGTCTCCGCTGTGGCTCAAAGAAGTGGCACCAAAATTTGGCAGGGCAAATGGAAAAGCCTAAAACCTGCGGTTTGCCCTAGTTCTGGACCCAAGACTTCAGAGTCAGGTACAAAAGGACCCTTCAAGCTGGTTGATGGTTTTTTGCACATCCACCTTGAAGCATTTTTTCACTTTGGAGCCGTAAATCCGCTGGCTCGACCCAAATCCGCGCGCGCGCGCTCGGCGCGCGCCTGGAGCCCTGCCATGGCCAGCAGCGCCCGCTTCCAGGCGGCGCGGCAGGAGGCCAGCAGCGAGCCAAAGCCCACCACGTCCTGAGGAGACGCGAGAGGCCTGGGGCGGTTCGGGTTGTGGTGGTTGGGGGGTTGCGGGGGGTTGGGGGGGGTGGGAGTGGTTTCGGGGGGGGGGGGTGGTGGGGGGGGGGGGGCCCCCTATCCTCTACAAGGGGGGGGTGGGTGAGTTGGGGAGGAGTTTAACCCGATCTATCCTCTAGAAACGATTCCCAATACCATCCTTCTTCCCAAAAACTGGCGAAAGGATCCTTGGAAAGAATCCCCAGAAGCGGCTCCCAGGCACCTTCTGTCAGCTTCCGTTGGAGCCGAATCATGGTGGTTTGGTGGTTGAGCGGGGTTTTCCCCCATCTACCCTCAAGGGGTGCAAATCCAAACCAACACAAACCAACTAAGTTGGTAACCTGATCGGCATGTTGGCAAAATTCCAAAAGCTTGAAAACATGCAGGTTAAAGGAGTCACCGAACAGTGGAACCCACAGAAGAAACCCTCTTGTGACCCCTAAAGAGCGGGTTCCAGCTTGCACCAAACGCAAAACCGCGTGGAGCTCAGGTGTGTTTTTCAAGGCTCCCCTTTTTAGGCTAAATTGAAGGGAGACCAAAACGGAAAAACGGTGGGGTCCAGTCCAAATCCCCCTCAACCGCTGAAGTGGACCCAAGCCCATTGGGTATGTCTTGTTTGAAGGTACCCAAACCAAAGGAAAACCACCCACAGTCTTATTTATTTGTGGGTGTCTGTGTGTTTGTTTGATATGTTTTGTGTTTTTGGGGGCAAACCAAAGGAAAACCACCCACTGCTGTATTTACACGTGTTTTTTCTTCTTCTTCTTTCTTTTTTTGGGGGGGGAGGGGGGGGCCGATCCCTGTTTTGAGGACACACACTGGATTTCAGCTTCCAAGGCTCGGGACCGACACGTTCCTCTTTCGCGGAGCCCAGCAAATTCTCTGCGCGGCGCCAGCGGTTGAGGCAGGCCTAAGCCCCAGTTGCAGCCCCGCTCCAAAAAGTTGCTCAAATGCTCATGTGGGTGTGGCTCAAAACTTAAAACAACTGAGGGTACGCATAGTCTTTGGTTCCATTTGTCAAGGTGCTATTTTGGTCTCCATGTTTGTGACCCACAGCCAAGTCCCAAACTGTTCAGGCATCGTCCATTTCAGCCAACCTGAACCAAGTAGCCTCAAAACCAGCACACGCCGTTGTTGGCTGTTGTTTTGCGCGGCCCCGTTGCCTGGAAAATCACTCAGAGCTCAAACGGACCACAGACTACTTGACCAACCGAACCTGGACATGAGCCCCAAAGTCTCACTTGTTTTCCCAAAAGGACATGCGGCAAACATTGAATGGTCTGACCCCGGTGCCGGACCCCCCCAGTTTAACATGGACAAGCCCGTTAGCAGAGGAGACTCCTGTTAGAGGGCCTTTTTTGGGCGCCATGTGAATTTGCAGATCAAGTCGCCGTCTCAAACAGGGATACCCTCAAAAAGAAGACGCACCCGTATGGACCCAATGCGTATGACGGGTTTGCCTCCGTATTCTCAGGGCTTCGCAACCGTCCCAAACCAAACAAAGCGCGCGAACCGCGCGGCGCTCATCGCCGCATTGAAGCTCACTGCATTGGGCTGCGCCGTGCACAGGGCCATGCCACCTGAAGAGCTGGGGAAGTCCAACCAGTGGGTTGGGGGAATTTGTTTTCTTCCTTCAACCAGTTGGACAAATGGGGGGGTGCTCCCAGATGTTCATCAACCCCATTTTATGAATGGGGGGGTGCTTTTCCCTGGGTGAAATGTGGTTGGAATCAGACCACTTTTTGAGGGGGCCAAAATTCACCCCCTTTTAATCAACGGGGGTTGATTAATATAGGGCTTTTAGGGTACCCTTTCAAAGGCACACCCAAAGACAAACCAAAAGAGGCATTTGCGCAGTGGTAATCAGGCAACCTAACAACCCGGCACGAAGCGGCGTTGGCTCGATCACGTGCTGTCACAAGTGTCAAAGAGACAAATTGGCATCAGACAAACATCACCCCCCCCCCAAAAAAAATATAAAAAATGCCCGAACAGGTGATGAATGAACCAGCTAAAACGGGAAGGACCCCTGAAGAAGGGGCCTGATGGTTCTTAGCGCGAATGAAGCCGAGAATGAGTCGTGTTACAAGGTATTTGGCTCCTGCCGGTTCATTCGCTGCCATGCAAGATCCATGCTTGACGTGGTCCAGCACTTCCGCGGTCCACTGCGAGAAGTTGTGTCGCAGGCAGCTCTTACTGCGAAACAAAGAAACACACGAACACACGAACACACGAACACACTAACACGCACACACACACACACACACACACACACACACACACACACACACACACACACACACACACACACACACACACACACACACACACACACACACACACACACACACACACACACGCGCACGCGCACACGCACACGCACACGCACACGCACACGCACACGCACACGCACACGCACACGCACACGCACACGCACACGCACACGCACACGCACACGCACACGCACACGCACACAACACAACACAACACAACACAACACAACAAAACACAACACAACACAACACAACACAACACAACACAACACAACACAACACAACAACACGCATTACACAACACACAACACACAACGCACAACACACAACACGCATTACACAACACACAACACACAACGCACAACACACAACACGCATTACACAACACACAACATATACATATACACATATATATATATATCCAACAACAGTACCGCAAAACGTGTGCTACAAAGCAAATTAAAAGACACTGCAAAGAAACAAACGCAAAACTTCCGCGATATCAAACACTACTTTCACAACTTCGTCGCGAATCTTTTGCGGAGATATCTCAACCAAAACCGATGGTCGCCGAATACTAAAGTCCTTGCAAGGACCTTTGGAACGACTCCCATGTCAACAAGACCAAGCCACAAAAAGCTACGGGAAACGAAACGGGCAAGCCAGCGATGTTTCGGAAACCATGGGAGAGCAAAACCAAACGTAGCAACATCAGAGGTCGCTCTTCAATAGTTGCAACTTACTGCCACGTTCAAAGGTCCCACTAAAAGAAATGGAGGGATCCTGAACTCTGAACCCTTCTTTTGGCCGAGCGCGATTGCGCGCCTAGCGATGCAAGGGCCTGCAGCCACTTCTCCGCCAAAGCCGCCGCGGCCAAAACGGAGGAGGAAGTGAAGAGATTGCCTCGAAAGGTCCAGACCCAAACCTACAGGCGTGTCTTAAACTAGGCCCAACAAACAGGTGGTTTCACCAAACTTGCTCCCAAAAAACAGGTGGTTTCACCAAAAAACAGGTGGCTTCACCAAACTTGTGGGTTAACATAGGCACCAATCACATTGCTCCCTTGAACATCACCAAGACGAAGCTTCTGAAAGCGCGCTTTTCTGACTTTCCGATTAGGGATTGTGTGACCAGCGGTCGGAACATGCAAGTCTATATCAAAATGGCAACCTGTTACGGATGGCTCTAAAGAGAAGCCTTGCAAGACAGCCAAACCGCGTGAAGGGCTCTTTAAGGGTGGGATCGCTTGGTTTACCCATAGGTGAGCTTGCTGAAATAAGGCAGAAACATACGGAAACCCAAAATGAAAAAAACTGGATGTAAGAAGTTGTGCTTGTACAAGCTAAGTCAATTTCAAGTTCCCGTTCGCAGCCAGGTTGTCTTCAAGGTAAACCCCTTTTGGGCTTCCCGGTTTCGAGAAGATGAAGGTACCCCCACCTTTCTTGGGAAAACCCCCACCTTACCCGGCCGCGACATCCATTCACTCCGGAACAACGAGCACTCTTTCGCGCGCCTGGGAAGCGCAGGGCCTCGCGCCAGCGGCCCTCTCTTTGGCCTCGGAAAACGCCGCCGAAGAGCGCTGCAAAGTGGGAGCCTATGATGCTTGCTGCTACTGCTGCTGATGGGGGTAGTGATGATAACAATGGCGATGGGGATGGGGATGAAGATAAGGATGATGGCGTTGATGATGATGATGGTGGTGGTGGTGGTGGTAATGATGGTGGTGATGGGCATAGTGATGATCATTATGAGTATCATTCTGATCATGATCCTGATCAGCTTCCATGGGCCCTGGGCCCCCTCCCAACTTCCCCAACACCCCCCAGATTACAACTTTGCGCGGCCAGCAAAAGCCATGGGCGCCTCAAAAGGCGCCTCAGAACGCGACAAGGGCATTGCCAGCGCTCCCTTGGTTAGGAACATCAGGCCAAAATCAACCCGTAAAATGTTTAAAACCTTGAAAACGTCGAAAGAACAAGTTGGTGCCCTTTGATCGGTTGGTTTACACCCCCCACCCCCCAAAAACATTCAGCCGAGGGCACAGGCCGCTGCGCCAGAATTCCCGGAAATCTCATCCGCCAGGCGGCTGGCTCGGCCAAGCTGCCTGTGTCGACACGGAAAACAAACAACTTTTGTGTTTCAAGGGGGCTTCTGCCCCAGACAGCGCAGCTATATACCCCAGAGGAAACCACCCCTGGATGAGAAGAGGGGAGGGTGTACCCCCCGTGGCAATATAGTAGTTGCCCCGGCCTTTTCGCTTGCAGGAAATTTTCTTGTTGTTGTTTTTGTTTGTGCTTTTTGTCGGGGTAAGAAACCCTCTTAGATAGTTTGTGAGCAGCCATTGTACCTTCAGTTTGCACTTGGTAACCCAAGAAATCTGGCCAAATTACTCGATTCAGAAACGGAATGCCTTACTTTCAGCATCATGATCATAGGGACCATTAAAGTGGTTGCATTTATTTGGGAGGGCTTCTCAAAATTACCTGTGTTGATGACCCAGTTTTGATAATATAAGAAACAAGTCGATAACACATATTCTCGTATGAACATTGACTTGCACAAGCAGTGCAAATGCCGCAGGCCAAAACAAACACCAACCTAACCGTTTGAACTCCAATTGCCAGGGACACCAAACAAACGTGATTCACGTCGGCCCTTCTTGTGACTCCAAAATTCAGCCACCCCTGGCAGTTAATTTAACCCATCAACGGGTTCATACCGGGGGATAGGGATGGAGCACTGCAAGGCTGCAAGGCCTTTGGCTTGCTTGGTGTCCTGGTCTTCACAGAAGCCAAAAGGGGTACCCGGAGTGTCCACGCCAAGCGAAACCACCGACTGAGCCAACCCTTGAAAGTTTGGGCTATCGATCTCACTTTGGGCGACTTCCCCATTGCCAGATTGTTCTCTTCTTGTCTTTCAATAAGAATGCCTTAGAGTCGAAAAGGAATCGCCCCCGCAGGAGTCAGGAATCGCCCGCTTCTGCCAAAGTCAGAACTGCTTCCGCTTCATTGCCAACGCTCCAAACCCAACAAGCGACGCTTTAGCCTCGTGTCCGAAACGGAACTCAGAGAGCAAGCGGCCAGGTCGGTTGAAGGGTCATAACTTCTGCCTGGCTCCCCGCAATGGCCCTGCTGCGTAAACAGGCTGTTGCTTTGGTCCATCTGGGGGGGGGGGGGTAGAAAATTCACCTGGGCGTTCGTTGCAAACGGGTCATGTTGCCCAAATACAGACAAAAATGACCCACGCGAATCAATAGTTGCTCCAGGTCCGATCAGTTCAATCAGTTCATGATACTACTACTACTACTACTACTACTACTACTACTACTACTACTACTACTACTACTACTACTACTACTACTACTACTACTACTACTACTACTACTACTACTACTACTCCTACCTACTTTTGGCAGCAATGAGGAGCTCACTGTTTGAGTGGATGGGCAAACAAACGTATACACCGTTGATGTACCACAAAAGCGATCTTCCCACAAAGCTTAACGTGTAGGAACTCGGGCAGTAAGGGAGCACGCGCTTTCTCCATTGGCTTAAACCAACACACCCTCCCAGGTCGATTCGCTTGCGATTTTTTGCTCGCAGGCGCAGCAGCTGCAGCGCTTCGGCCCAGGGCAACGCGTGCACCGCGCTGTTCAGCGCCACCACGTCCTTGGAACGAGAGCAAGAAGTAGGGAATGACCCAGGCGTGAGGGAATGAACCCAGGAATTGGTCCCCGTAAAGAAAAACCACCAGTTGGATGGTGTGTATATAGTATAATAGTGGTCATTCCCTGATTCCCTACCGAGCACCAGCAAGACCCAGCGCGGACGTCGCCAATCCGATTGAAACATCACGACAAAGGGGGCCTTTCGAATAGGACTCATTATTGCGATGGAACAGCCAGTGTTAGCATTGCTTGATTCAAGGACTAGAAGGAAGGCACAAACGCTCAGGAGGAAGGAACAAACACTTTCTGGCTCGAAGCAAAAGGTTCAAAGCTTGACTTGGGTCTGTCTCAGAACCCCTCATCTGGGCGAGGTTTGCTTTGGCTTCCCTTTCACCGCACAAAAAAAGACACACCCACGCGACCCAAACACTACGCAGCTGCAACACAAGAAGCTATCAAGCAAGCCTTACTTTTCGTGATTTGGAAATCACCAGTTCTTATTTCTCATTTCTGTTGCGGCCTGCTCAGTAAAGCGTAGCCTACCTCATGCGTTGAGGGGGGGGGGGGTCACCCCCAAAAATGCGGCTCAAGGTTCTGGCAGAAAGTTCCCGGGAAACCCGAACTCCGCCCCGCGCCGAGGCGCCGGCTCCGTGTCTCGGAGCAGCGCTTGCGCGCAGGCCCACGCGCGCTGGCGCGCGCAGGCGGAGAGGAGGACGGTGTCAAAGACCACCTCGCCCGCTTCGCGGGCGATTTGTGTGACGCCGGAAAGCCGAAAAGGGCATGGTAGGTGTAACAGGTAGGGAGGATGCCCCCAATTGGTGGGTTCAAGTCCTTCTGCATTTGAGTGCCCTGTAAACCAATCTTGGAAATGAATGCGGAATGGTAGAGCTGAGGGGCTTCGGGAAATCCCCGAAGAGAATGGTCTCAAGATGCGTATGTGTTTTATTGAGGGTACCTTCTTCAACTGTTCAAAGGGAAACCAGGCTTCAAGCCACATTTTCTGCGGGGCATACCCACATAGCAATTCTGTGTCTCAAAACGGGAGCAACTCGGTACCCGGTAAGAACAGCCCCTCCCCCCCAACTCAGCACCTTTCTTGCTCGTTCCCTACTATATGAAAATTGGAATTCAGACATCTTTGAGAAACAAAAGGAACCCTCTTTCAAACAAATACTACGAAGGACTGGAGACTTTTGTAAGATGATGGTCTTCCAAAACCTTCCTGCGCAGGGCCCTTCTCGGAAAGCGGCTTAGCTCGAGGGTGCGAAGGACATTCCCGAAGAACACCCATCCTATGTGAAAGCCTTCCAAACACCCGTAGAGGCTGGACAACCCCTCGCCCTCAAGGTCCCTGGGGCGATTGAATTGGTGGAACTCGAAGATGATGTTTGCTTATGGATCAGCTCTGGTCAATCCCCCGCCTCCCACATCTGTGTGTTTTATAGGGAAAAAACTTGGCCATCCGGGGTACTCCGAAAACCTGTCACTTCCGGATCTCGTGTCATACCTAGTCTACCCTCCAACATGTTTCAAACAAAGAAGAAGAAACAATCTCGGAGAAGCGAATTGAGATGGTTCCGAGCGTCTTTTGCCCCACCTCCATGACATTTGGTAGAACCACCACCCGAAGTTTGCAAGCGCCCCACGTGCAGCTCGGCAATAAATAATCTGGGCGACCCCACCCCCGGCCGGGGCTCCAGGCGCAGCAGGAGCGCCTACGGAAACCCAACAAGGCCGTGTTCTGGGCATCCCTTTCAAGGAGAAATCAACGAAACCAACCCCCGCAGCAAGCACAGCGCCCAGTGTCCTGTGAGCCTTGCAAGGAGCCTTTGCCAGCAAACCACAGAATGCCAGGCCCGCCTGCTCCCCGAAGTGGCACCACACCCTGCCCCTTGCATGTTCTTCTCTCTTAGAGATGCAGCAATTTGAAACCCAAGATACATTCAAAAACCGCCCCTTACAGGGCAAGAGAGGAACCCCCTTAACCCTACAAAGCCTGGGATATATATATATATATATATGTGATCCTACCATCATCCTCTTAGAACAGGGCAAGCATATAAATTGCTGCCAAACGGTGCCCCGAGAAAAAGTGGGAATCAACCATGAAGGGCAACCAAAGTAAATTCCTGGCAAACTTATTTTGGCAAACCAAAGGGAAGCCAATAGATAATGCAAGCAACCAAGAACAGAAACCAAAACCAAAAGGAAACCAAACCACTTGAACCAAAGGGAAACCCTCAGAACAAACGGCAACCCCTCAGGCCAAGAAAGCCCAACCCCCGCAAAGGGTTGAAGAGGACAATCCTAAGCAATGGGAGCCGCACGGACAAAAAGGCTAACCAAAAGGCCACTTGCTGGTGCGACGAGTAGGGAATGGAATGCAACTATTGCGGTTTCCTCTAAGGGGACCAATTCCTGGGTTCATTCCCGCATTCGCTACTGAGCACAAGCAAGGTAATCCAATGGTACAAACAAACAAGGGGAACATCAGTCAGGTTTTGGAAGAAACCCGTTGACGGGATGCTAAAACCAAAGAAATGTCGTCTTATAATCAAACGAACCAGGATATAGAAATGGGCCATTGACCAAAGGGAGTTCCTCTTGAGCAAGAGGGACGCCAACAGGAAATAACAACTGACAATACCGCAAGATAAGCCCTCAAGGAAAACCCTCTTCAAAAAGCTAAGAGGGGACCTCTTCAGAAAACCAAATCCAAAGCCAAGCGTGACTAGAGACCAATCCTTGAACCAAAGCGAAAAGATCCTCTCAAACCCATGGACATATTCTTCCAGGCAAAACCAAGAACAAATACTGGAGATCCGGCCATAGACGGGCAACCAACAGAAAATCACAAAGACAAACATGAAGACGCTTGCCAAGATTCAAGTCAACTCAAGGTAGGTTTGAAGGGGAACGTGTTATAGCCCCAAAATCAAAAGGTGAAAATGGCACCCTCCAAAAGCAAACACCCAAAAAAACATGATTTTTAATAGGGAACACCCTCCAAAGCGGGAATCCCCAAATGAAAGGGTCCCGATAAAACTCATACCCATGTCATGTGCGTATGCTCCTTCAGGGTACCCTTTTCACCGTAACCAGAAGAAAAGCCGAAACTTACATTGGGGGGTAGGGGGCAACCCTCGCCTGGCGCCAGTCGTCCGCCTTGTGTGCTAGGGCTCCCCGGTGGATCCTCAGGTCGTTTTCGAAATGATGTGGCGGGTGGATCCAACGTGTGCCGCAATAGAGCAACACGGCGTTGGGTTTGGTCAAAAATGATATTCTGTGTGCGGTCATGTCTGATGGATTCTGTGAGTGTGAGGTGTTCCTTGGCAGATATCTTTGGGTAAGGCAAACCAAAAGGGCCAAGACTGGGGATGCTCAAAAGGCTCCGCTTTGGTCATGGCTTCATAGTTGTGAAATCCAGGGCCTTCCGGGGTAAGCCCTTCGGCCCGTTTTGTTGGTTCCCGCATATCAACAACCTTACTTTGAAGAACAGGTGAGTAACAATGAAAACTCGGTATTAAAATAGTCCACCCAGAACCATGTAAAGAGAAAAAAAGGCACTTGCACCCATATCTGGTTGGAATTTTCCCTTTACTAACCTTCATCTACCCGTGAAACATAGCTAGTTTCAATAGAGGTATAGTTTTGAAAAAACCGGTTCGTGTTTGTGTTGCTTGACGGTATGGCTTCAGGCTATCCTTTTGCGCCCTTTTGGCTTTTGTTGCCATTTGAGGGGTGTCCTTTTGGATAACCCCTCGATGCTGCAAGTGTCCTTTTTCAAGCCTTTCGGACAGTATGGGAAAACTCCTCAACATCTCGGTCATGTTGCTGCTTGCTTGGGAACCCTTACACTTGCAACGAAAGTCCCTATACAAGGGTTCATACCCTGCTCCAAGTACCCTCTTTCCGACAATTCTGGAAGCGGACAGGCGTCAGCTTTCATGATTGCTCGAGGGGCTGTTGGAGCATGCCCACCCTTTGTGGAATTACGCGAAAAAGGCGACCACTCTGACATTATTTTTCTACCAACCCATTTCCCTGCAAATTTGCGCGGGGTCAGCCCTACCCCGGCCACCTTTGAAGGGGGATCGGAGGCAAGCGTGGAACGTGGTCAGGCATAAACTCAGACATCTGGGCTCCTTTCTTGTTGAGTTTTGGGTATGCATCCATTCCGGGCTATGGTTCTGTCTCCTTTCCCTTGGATCTCCTCGCAGATTGTTTTTCGCCAACGTAGTAGTATCAAGTCCCTGGTCGTATACTTCAGTCTCGCTTGCGAACGCTATCCGCCGACCACGGATCGAACTAGCAAGCGCAAATGGAGAATGATAAAAGGTTTCCCGGGTCTAAAGTTGTCCGCGCAACACCTGTGCCACGAAACATCCACCTCCAACCAAAAAGAGGCTCATGTGAACAGATCCAACATGACACCAGTATGGATGTCCAACCAAAGCGAACCAACAAGCACGCCTACTGTGGATGGACGAAATCCTGCACCGCCGTTAATCATGATTAGCGCTCGCTGTAAATACGAAGAAAGCAATGGGTTTCAACACGTGGTTTCATTTCGTGGCGCCACATGGATTTGGTCCATCCACACCTATCCGGCGACTGGAGCTTACCATTGGATCCCTTCAGATCGCAGCCTCCACTTTTCCTCGCGCTGTTTCGCAAGGGAGCGAAGGCCTTCGCCTGCAATAGGGCGTGCACATCACGCCCGACGTGCCTTGCGACTCTTAGAAACCACATCTGCAGAGAAGCAAATGGAGCAGGGCGTCGACGCTGTTGGGGTCATGTCAAAATTTGGCGATCGCCCAAAATGACAACAGCTTTCACTTGGCTCCCCCCGATCAAATGGGGGGGGGGGGGGTCCAAAAGAAAGGAACCAAACTCATGTCGAAACCTCTGTTGGATGGAGACCTTTCTGGGGTGCTTCAAATGGAAGCCAAAGGGAAAACCACAGTTTGGCGGGGGGTGCTCCATCGTATGGGCCTTCAGATTGAAGACGCCTCCAAGAATTTGGCCTCCTGTTAGGTTTAATTGAATCCAAAACGGGTGCCCTGAGACACATAAGAAGGAACTGTCTATGGTTTATGAAGGTTGCGAACGAGGACATGGGAGAGAAGTAGCGGTGAGTCCCTCGGGTGTGTGGAGAAATGTCTGGGAGTCCCCCTGCTCGTCCCGCCGAAATTCATATCCTCCAAGATGAACCCTCCACAAAACAACACCCCCATCCCATACTCTACGACACGCCGTTTTCTACACCAGCCTACGCAAAGAACACACACGCACGCATATGGCTGTGGCTCAAAACTCAAGAGCTAGGGTTACGCAGGTTTTAGTCTTTGGTTCCATGTACCACGGGGGCTATTTTGGTACATCGATTTGAGCCACAGCCGGCAACTGCCTGGGCTCCTTCCCCAGCCAAAATGAAATGTTTGGCGAGCCTGAAACATGGAAGGAGCGAAAAGCAGCCCGGCAAAGGTATCGGAGGGGGGGGGGTGTTTTTCCAAGCACAAAACGGGTGGCGCGACCTCCAAAACCGATTGGGCGGGTCGCGGCCAGCAACGGAAGTCTCAACCATAGTGAGTCACAATCAGCTGAGGTTAGGGACGGGTCCAATCAAGCCCTCTTCACTCTCAGGATTTTGGCCGGAGCCCTGTCCTTGCCCATTAGACAAAAAATAAGAGTCTGACTCTCTTCTAGACTTACTCTGCCAAGCTAAAAAAACCTTGGCCTCACTTGGAGAGCTCTGGGGTCACGTAGTAGGTGTCCTTCGTCGATTTGTCCCCGCTTGGCAGGGGCATATGGAGCTGCAAGGTGTCGTTGGTGGCCAAGAGCCAATCCTCACATGAGTCACAATCAAAACTCGGTATTAAAATTGCCTACCCAGAACCATGTAAAGAACTAAAAAGACGGCCGCAGCTATTTATAGTTGGGATTGTCCCTTACTAACCTTCATCTACCCGGGTTTTGAGCACGTGGCTCACATGCCACCGTCAAAACTTGGGCTTCTCCCTTTCCCAGCTGAAAGCATTGGGGTCCATAAGCCCAGATCGGCTCATTTTCTGGGTTCCGGAGTGCGGAGGCTGCTGTTAAAAATACTACCTGCACTTATTTGAGGCTGGATACCTTTTCTGGGGCGTTCTTTTTTGGCTCAGGGCGACAAGCCACTATGTGAGTGTCGTTTTTAAGGGTACCCTCTTTGTGTTGGTTTTCGGGGAAACTAAGAGGAAAAACCCTATTTTGGTCCTCAAAAAAAACACACCCAGTTGCTTTGAGCTCCAGAACCATATACAAAAAAGCTTCCCCCGGCCCGCAAGCACATGTGATATGGCCAAAACGTCCGCAAGTTCCCTATAAGGGACGCATGGCCGCTGCCAACCCCAAGTCAAAAACCTGTTTTGACCATGGCACACTTGCAGCTTCGGGGAAGCCTGGGGCAACCGCTTTTCGCACACTCCCAATAGTAGGCCCCAAAAGCTGCAAAAGAATACTCCCCTCCCACCAAAGAGACAGCCAGGGGGGCCCCTCACTAGGCAAAGACTCCTTGATACCTCTGGGGAGCTTCACGGGCACCACGTCCACGTGCCGCAGATCGCCCAAGTTCACCATCACCGCCTGGTCCTGGGGTAAAGGCAAAGACAATGAGCGCAGGTCCCTTCGGGCTTCTCCTTGAAGCAATCCAAAAAAAATACCCTCAAAACAACGCCTACCTATATGTTATAGGAAATCCAAAAGGAAAACCCGGATTTGGGGGTCTCTATTTTGACACATGCCCATGTCCATTTCAAGGACAACTCTTCCAAATGCCTGTAGACAACTCGCAGTCCTGACCATATATACCCTAGATTTCCTCTTACATCACGGGGCTTTCCCAAGGAAAGCTCACTTTGCGCTGGAGCAGGTGGCGTTTCATTCCCGAAAAGGGGAAATCCTGCCTTTTCTCCCGGTACATCGCCCCTCGGCTTAACCGGCTTGGCCCAAACAAACTAAACCGTTCTGTACGAGTAAAACGGTTCTTCCCAAAAAGCATAAAGTCCAAAAACTGGGGAAGCGAGGGACTTCCTAAAAGCAGCCAAAAAACGTTTTTTTGAGTGTCTCCAACAAGTAGCCAGACCCTTGTTTAATCCAAGGAAAGCCAAAGGAGCCCTGCTTTTGGGGGGCAGAGAGACAACCCAAATTGAAACGGTTGAGGCCTCCTGACCCAAAACCCCCCTGCTCAGTGAGGAGCCCTTCTCCGGACTCTGGCTTTTGGGACCCTTTTCCCCCTGTATGGTAGAGAAAAGGCCGTCCGGCCCCCTTTTTTCCGCCCTGGGGCAAGCCTGGATAGTAAATGGGAAATGCATGGGCCCGCTCTAAGCCTCCCTCGCCGGATGTATATATATATATATAGATAATCCCGTCCCATTTGGGAGGCTTTAAACACGAATTATCCTTCCGAGAGGGGGGTCCCCAGTTTGCAGAGAATTTCTTTGGCGCTAAGCCTCCCTCGCCGGATGTATATATAGATAATCCCGTCCCATTTGGGAGGCTTTAAACACGAATTATCCTTCCGAGAGGGGGGTCCCCGTTTCAGAGAGAAGTGCTGGATGCGCTTCGGTCTGAAACAACCCGCATGGATGCTCAAGGGGTTTCGCCAAATCCACTTACCATTGGGGGGGTCACGGGAAAAATTTCCTGGCCAGGATCAAAGCCACTAAGGGTAGGTTAAAAATGAAACAACCCGATTTCTGACATGTTTCTTATGCAAACCATGGTTTCACACACACATATATCCCATGGCAAAATAAAGGCCGGGATTGACCTTGTAATACTTAGGGTGTTAGAATTTAAACATCTACCCTGCCAAAAAGAAAAACCCCAAAGGGTTCCAGGAAAATGGCCCAAGCCAGAGACCCCCTGTGCGCTGTCAGCTGTCAGCCTAGCTTGTCTTTTTCAGGTGGTTTGAAGGTTTTCAAACGTATTGTGGTTCCGGCCAGAACAAAAACAACAAACGAGTTTTCAAACGTTTGACTTTGATACGCACCAGTTGTTCGCAATCCTGTTTGAGAAGCACCTTATGGTTTGCACGACCTGCTTTGCCAGGTCTAAAACCACCTACTGCTTCAGGGCCTTTTGAGGGTACCCTGCTTCTCCGTGGTTGGACCGAACACATGGGACAATTGGGTAAAACATGGGACAATTGGGTAAAACATGGGACAATTGGGTAAAACATGGGACAATTGGGTAAAACATGGCACAATTGGGTAAAACATGGGACAATTGGGTAAAACATGGGACAATTGGGTAAAACATGGGACAAGTTGCCCATAGTCATTTCAAAGGGCCGAAAGTTTTTTTGATCAACCCACACTTTGAAGGCCCGTCCTGATACTTCACGCTGGCGCTGCCGGCTGGCACCGTGGGGCGCCAGTTGATGATGTTTCCAGAGCCCTGGGAGCCGTTTAAGCCGTGAAACCCGTTGACTGTGCGTCCCACCAAAACCGGCCTCATTATTTTGCCATGATCAAAGTCACCCCCCGAAGTGGTGGGTTACAGGGAAACAACCACATTTTCTGACTTTGATAACCCCCAGAAACAGTCAAAAGAATGACCCCACCAAAATGCTCCAAGGAACGTTTAGAAGGAACTTCCGTGGCACGGCAACTCATTGAAAGCTACGGACAAGAGTAGAATTCGCTCGGGAAAAAACGCTGCGCATGTGTGTGTGTGGCGAGGGCATAGACATGTCAAGCAAGTGCAACTCGCGGGGGTGTTGTGCGGTCGGATTAGCCTCATCGCAACGCATTCAGAGCACGTTCAGAGCGATCTCGCAGCCGGGCAATTGTCACGGACGCAAGTACTTTTCGCTACATTTGTTTGCTTGGCAGGTGCAGCAGTTTCACGAGGTCAGGTACAGATTTCGTAGCAGCCGCGGCACTTTGCCAAGATCCTGATTTGGTGGCAGGGTGCAGCACTTTTGCAAGGTCAAGAACAGATTTCGTGGCCGGCTCAGCACTTTGCAAGGTCAAGTACAGAATTCGTGATAAGATAGATAAGGTAGGTAGACAGATAGATCAATGGATGGACGGATGGATGGATGGATGGATATGGATGGATATGGATGGATAGATCAAATAAAGTAGATAAGATAGATAGGTACATAAGATAAGATAGTTAAAAAGGAAGAAAGATGGATTAGACAGATGGATATAGGTAGAGGTAGATATCGATAGATAGTGGAGACAGAGAGAGAGAGAGAGAGAGAAAGAAAGAAAGGCTAGATGCATAGCTGAAACAATAGATCGGTAGATAGATCGAGTAGAGAGATCGAGTGGAGAAATAAATGGACATATAGAAGGACAGATGGCAATCTACAAAGTGGACAGATTATTTAAAAAAAAAATGAAGGTCCATTGAGAATTTAGATAGATAGGTAGAGAAAGAGCTAGATGGTTAGACAGATAAGTAGACAAATAGATAGATCGATCGATAGAGAGGTTAGATAGATAGATCAACAAGTAGGATACCTAGCTACATCGGTGGATAGATGGAGGCGGAGACAGAAAGTGAGATTCACAGGATCAACAACAACAGAAATGAAGACAGAGATTAAAGTAACGACTAGTCGTGCGCACTCCTGCGCTTGCGCGGGAGAAACGAAAACAAGCGCTTCTGGATTGACTTGCCGTCGCTTGGATGACTGGATGGATAGATCGGTAGACACGTAGCTATATAGATACGTAGGCAGAGAAAGAAAGGTGGGTTTCAATCAACATTCACCGTAATCAACCCTAGGTTGGCTTCTTCGCAGTGCACAATCTATTGTCAATGTCTAGGATCCTCCACTTGTTAGGGCAACCCACCCTGTTTACTGAAATGACCCCAAACTTCTCAATGATATGTTCTCCTCGAACGTTCCTTGGAGGAACCACCCCCCAACTGTCCTGTTTTCCCGCGAGCCGCGGAAAACAAGAACGAAACAAATGCTTGGAAGCAGCTACATGTACCACACCCATCCCGAATCCCGGCCTCAAGGTATTCCACCTTCACCAAGGTGCCCTTCGGAATCTCTCCATCCCCCTGGAACACCATCCTTGCAGTGAGCCCGCGGTCCGCTTTTTGCACGGGTAAGCCCTGGAACTTGGGCGTCGAGCTCAATGGGAAACCTGCCTCCCTTTCTCGGCGAACCGATGAGATTCTAACAACTCGCTTGAGAAACACGGGCGCTGGGAGTCGAGACAACAAGGTTCAAACGTGAGACAACTGGGTCTAAAGTAACCTTCCTCTTGAGAGAAACCGCTTCTGACACCAGGGAAAAGGACTGGAACCCAAACCAACACATTTCCAAGCCCGTTGGATTGGGTGTCTGATGAGCCCCTTTTTACACTCAAGCAGCAAGGAAAAGACTGCTGCGCACCCTGACAAGCCAAGTATTAAAAAAAAACAAAAAACGGCACCCTTCAAAGGTGCGTCAATTCTTCTCGATCCGAGTTCCCAAAGCCGGTGACCCAGTTCGAGGCACCGAAGAATTTCCTTGCTGCAAAGACCAGAATTTTTTTTCCCTGCGGGGTGTGTTTGTTTTCTTGCGGGTGGGGTAACAGTAGACCCCAGGGTTCAACACCCATGAAAAAAATTGCTGGACCCAATGCTGATGCAAGTCCTTGGGAGTTGCAAACGGTGGCGAAAAAACTAGCCCCCTTTGCTTTAGATGGTGTTGAGCCTCAGGGTAGAATGGGGGGGGGGGGTGATTTTAAGACAACCCATGAATGTACCCTCACCTGCACCGGTTTCCCCATGTTGGTTCAGTCGCTTCATCATGCCCTTTACATCAAACGGCGCCTACCAAACTTGGTTGCTGTTGACCCCTCTGCAACGACGATCCAACCAAATAGCCATAAACATTGGTGTCCTTTTAAGGGAAATAGATGGCCCTGGTAGATGATTAAACCACCAGGCAAACCAGGAATCGCCATTTATTTTCACCAAACCAGCCACAAGGACACCTATAACTATAAAGCAACTCACCCGTACCCGTCACCCCGCCAGCTGCAGGCAGAAGGGTCAGATCCCCGACCTGCGCGTCCGCGGTGCGGCACTCCCCCCAGTAGCGGAAAGCCGCGGGCATGGTGCCGCCCAGCTCGGTGGGGGACAAGGCCTGCGAGCGACCCAAGCAGTACCTGAGTCAGAATCAAAGCCCGGTACTAAAATGGTCTACCAAGGACCATGCTTCAAGAATCAAGAAGGCGGCCTCAGCTATTTATGGTTGGGATTGGCCCTTACTAACCTTCATCTACCCGGGTTTGATTGTGGCTCACCTCGGTTTAACCACCCTAGGGTTAAAACCGCCAATAAAACAAAGCGGGCGAGTATAACCACCGTTGCTTTACCTAAGGAGCTTCATCATCAAAGTTTGGGTCAACCATTATTTTCATGGTGGATGAAATCTAGGGAGTAGATTGACCAACAAGGCGAAGTGAAATATATCCCGAAGAAAATGGACGGATGCCGCAGAAAGTCTTGCATCCCGAACCCCCCCCCCCCCCCGCTTTCTTGAAAAGAAAAATGTCCTTTGATCTGGTGAAACAGGATAGGTTTGAAATAGCAAATCGTGGGCCATATGTAGCTCTTTTCAAAGGGTGGCCTGGATTTGGGTATCTAAAACTCCAAACTACCCCGAAGAAAAACTCGCAGGGCTCCTTTTTGGCCCCTGTTTTTAACACCCCTCCCCCCTGTTTTCCCTACAAAACGCGGGGGTCCCCGAGAATCGCTGCTTTTTGGCTTCCTCCGCCCCGCCGCCACCCCACCCCAGCCTTTTGATAAGATGGTTTTCAGCGGGCCAGCGACCCTTTCGCGCCTTGAGGATCTTCAACGGCTCCGCGCTGAAGGCGGGCTCGTTGTCGTAGGGCAGGTCCTTCAAGATGCTCCAAGTGCTCGACGCCTCGTAGTCCCTCCTTAGGAACTCTCATAGCTCCCCAAACAAAACAAACACACACACACACACACACACACACACACACACACACACACACACACACACACACGCACCCAACCACCCCACGCCATCCCCCACCACCTCCCCCCCGGCATTCAGCGGAGCTTCTCCGGCTTGTCGGAGTCGTTGATGACGTCCTCCGCCGCCGACTCGCTCAGGTTGGCGGAGACGGTCAGCGGCATGGGTTCCACTACCCCGTCCTTTCCAGCGGTTGCCGATGGAAACAGAATACGTTGGTTCCGTTGGGCGGTTTCAAGGGAGACCAATGAAAAACCATGGTTTTGTTGAGCTTCCCCTCAAGGTTCAAAGCCCCAACAAAAGCATGGTGTCCATTTGGTGTCCTATTGAAAAGCTCACAAAGTAACCAACCCCCCTTGTCCAAACATTTATGTAAACCTGTTACTTAAGCAACCTCCGGCTTCCTTTGAAAGAGGGCTAGAGTCTCACTTGCAACCCAAGGATCCGGAAAGTGTCTACACTACCCCCAAACCACTACCCCAAAAAGAAAAACAGGGTGGTTGCCCTTTGTTGTGTGGCTAAAGCAAGAATCCGATTCAATCTGGGGTAGTGATTTGGGGGTAGGACATGCATACCCCTGGCATAAACCCCTAGTTGATTGGGTAGTTGGGCCAGCCCCTTGTTTTTGCATATCTTTGGGAGCAATCAAACGGAACCCGTTCATGCAAACCTCATCAACGGGCTTTTGGTCCACCGGACACCCCAGACCCCCAGACCGGATTTCCATTTCTGCAAAAATTGTTCACTTGTTGAGCGTCGCCATGTAAAAAAGAAACACAACAAAAATGGGCACCGTTCTTTTCGTGGCAGTTGATCCTGAAAAGAAACCCTCCAAAAAAGATCGGCCAACGGGACCCAGATCTGAGTGGATCACCCGTCCTGGGCCAAGCGCAGCTCCTTGTAGGTCTTGGGCATAAAGCCCGCCGGGCAGTTCCAGCGACCTGTCGAAACCGTTCAGAACCCCCAGAAGGTTTGTGTGAAGTTGCCCCCAAAAAACGCCGCTCTTTTTGTGTTTGTTTAGTTTCCTTTTTTTGCAGGGGATTCCAACAAGATTGGCTTGTGGCTGCGACAAGAACTCATCCAGTGGCCGGAAGGATTGCGTCTAAAGCAGAAAATCAAAGGACCATCATCCCGGTCCCCAAGCTCGTCGGCTCTTGAAACCCGGCGGCCGTGATGGGGAACAAAGGGTGGGGAAATTTGGATTCACTATAGAATTGAAACAAACCAGAGATGCGGTTGGCCTTTTACACTTTTTGCGGCTGACCATCTTTGGAGGAAGCCCTGGCCTTGCGGTTCGCCATCTTTGGAGGAAACCCTCCGAAGGGATTGCAAGCTCTGGGAAGCAACCCTGCCGACCCAAAAGGGACCCGTGCTCCGGAATGTCTCCACAGTCAATTCGGATTGGAAAATATGTCTGAGGATGAGCAAGGAGGTGTGACACACGTCTTTGACAAAAGAAGTTGGCCGCTGGAAAAGGGAAAAGCACACCCCTTCTACAGGTTTTCGAGGCAACCGTGTTCAGAGCAATCCTGGTTTGGTTTCCCGAGCACCATCCAAAACCGGAAATCCTCCATGCAGAAACTGTGTTTGGGTTTCAATTGGGTTTCACCCCCAGATACCGATGATGGTTCACATTGATGGGCATTGGACACGCGTCATGCATCCCAACTGGTGCCTGGAATCAGGAATATGAGCCATTGTTCATTTTTCTGGGCCCCTTGCATACACTCAAACCCTTGAAGAAGTCAAGCACTGGTCAGCTTGCCTCTAACTGATGGTTTGGATTGGCTTTTTGGTGCTTGAGCAGGGGGTTCCCATCTACCCACAAGAACCAGGAGTTCAAGTCCCCAAACATCCCCAAACATCCCCAAACCAGCAAAGTACCAATTCAGGGGAATCCGAACTGAGTCACAACCAAAACCATGGTATTCACATGCTCTGCCCAGACCCATGTGAAGAATCCCTGCTGGCGGATCTCCGCACCCCTGGCTGGGGTTCGTTCCATCCAAGCGGCACTGGTGCATGCCGCCGGCCGTAAGCTCATAGCTCAGGGACCTGATCGAGAGAGAACTGCGGCTTTCGGGGCCGCAAGCTGAAGGCCTCTCCAGGCCCAAGAGCTGTGCTTAGCAGAAAACCACGAGGGGGGGGGGGGGGGTGACGCTCGCCGTGGTTGTGTTTGCGTGTTGTTTTGTTGTTTTTGTTTTTGTTTTTGAGAAAAAAACGTGTTTTTTTTCATGGGGAGGTTCCCTTGCTTTGCTTTGCCTCTCCATATGAGATGAGCGCTGGGCAGCAACATCTTCGAAGCCTTACGCGTCAACCCTGAGGCGGCAAGTGGTCAACAACCAAGTGCCCTGTGATGCGTCGGGGCCTGCAATCCCTCATGTGTTTGGGCGAGAGCCCAAACATGAAAGACGCAATATCTGAAAATAGGGGTTTCCTGAAAAGAACCCGAAAGAAAAGAAAATTCTAATATGTCAAACCTAAAACATCACCCCACCGATTGGGAACTCACTTAAGAGCCGAAATGATGATGTAAGCCAACCTTGTAGAAACACCAAAAAAGGCTGCAAGTAGCCCAGCGCAAAATTGGTTGAACCCAACTAAAAACCAAAAGCTACACCACAAGTCTGGCCCAGCACGAAGCGATCGGTGCACTGCCGAAACGAGGCCAAAAAAGTGTTCAACCAGTTGAGCCCGACATGCAAAGCAACCAAGAGAGTTAATTCAAACTATATCTGTCCCGCTCAATGGAAAATTGTGTTCCAGGACCCCTCAGTCTGGTTCCATGTTACTGGATAAGAGGGGGGCGCTTTCTTTTCGGGCCCTCACTCCGAACCCGAAACCGCAAGGGCCTCTCTTTAATCTCTAAACATAATGGGTTCGCTTCCTGAAGAATGCTTCAAACCTGCACGGGGAAGTCCCTACATATTGCAGCGAAGGGAAATGATTCAAACAACTTTAGCATGGTCTATGGCGGTGAGGTTGCTCGTGTGGATGGACAACATCAGTATTGGGTTGTTTGACGGTTTTATGAACCAGTATTCACAGGGCGTGCGAAATGGATTGCGTGCATCCACAATAGAATCTGCCACATGGCTGTGGCTCAAAAACCCGGTACCAAAATGGAACCCTGGTAAGTGGAAACATGGACCAAAACCTGCGGTTTGCCCCTCCTGTTTCATTTTGAGCCACACCCACATCCAAACTCCTGCTTTTTGAAACGACCCAGCGGCTGCCTCGCTTTATCATTCCGAGCGTCCCGTCGCAGAGCAGCTTCTCGCAGGCACCGAGGCCCAAAGCCTGCGACGCGCGTTTGTCCGAGAGCCGAGAAAAGAAAAACGGGGACCACGTGCGTTTCTGGGCTGCCCGTTTTCTTGTCCCCCGCGAAAAGGGAATGACTTTTGGTGGTTTGAATGGAAACTGCCACTAAACACGAAAAGGCGAAAAAGCTAATTGAGTGGATGGCTGGGAGCCACCGAGATTTGTCATTTGCGCGAATTGGGGCACGAACTCCACCCTGGGAGGGAAAAAACGGCTTGGGGATGTTTTCCTTCGGCTTTGGTGAGTTTGAGCCCTGATTACTCACCAACTTCGCACACCCCGTGGAGAGGACAAACGCACACGTCCGTCAGAAGTTCGACAAGAGTGCGAAGATCTGGGCAAGTCATTTGCCGACCTATGAGGATTCCCTACCAGTCGCTCAAAAACAAGGCCCTGGCAAGTTCAAAAACGCGGCGCTTCAATTTCAAGGGGTCCCGTGGTCATACCACGCTTTACCTTGAGGGCGAAAGGCGCCTGGCGTAAAGAGCGGGCGGGCCCCAAAGGAACCATGGCACCCTGGTGTGTGCACTTGGAAAAAATAGGCAAGGAGATAGAAACGACCTTTATGACGCAAGGGATGAAAACACAACTACGGCGTCTGCAGGGCCCACCCCCCTCAGTTCCTGAACTGGGTCCACTACAATGACTTCCTCAAATTACCCTGTAACGGGTTTCATTGACAACTCTCAAGACGCAATCACGGTAAAGAAAAAAACCAGTTGGAGGTGGAATCCCATGGTTGCAACTAGCAACTTTTCAGCACCAAAGTGGGCCGTGGCCAAGACTTCATCCACTGAGGGCGGGGGCTCCCTTGGCCCTGAGCTTCCCGCCATGGCCAGCTCCCCAGCTCACCCTCCCCCACCCAAGACGCTGTATGAAAAACCGAGCCGCGCTGAGCCCGTGCTGCTGGAGTTGCTCTCCGTGCTTCGCCAGCAGAGCCGTGGTCAAGGTCTTCGCCAGGCGGACGGTGGCTCTGGAGTTGGTCTTGGCCAGGTGCACGTCGGCTTCTACCTGACAGCAAATCAGGTCGTCTTGTATTGCTAGTGCCTTCTGCTTCTTATTTCTAGGCACTTGTGTGGAAATTTATGTACTGATCTGTTTGTATTGTCCTTTTGCAAGGGAATCGCCCTGCCTCGAGCCCAAAATGGCAAGGCCTGCCCCCGAAAAAACAGCCTGCCCCCGAAAAAACACCACCAAAAACAACTTCCCAATAACAAACTATTCAATTCCCCAACAGTTTTCTGAAATCCCAAAAGTGGTTGACAAAACAAACCTCTTTCCCCTGAACCTGACTTGCACTGTCCGTCTTTCGACAACCACTTTGGAGCTCCCTTCAATTTTTCCCCTCGTTCCAACAGTCACAATCCAATCCTGGACTAACAACAAATACATTGTTTAAGCATCAAATGCGCGCATCTGCGAGCCGCTTTTTATGATTGGTCGCCGGTCGTCCCGCAACCACAAAACTCATCCAAGAGTTGATGCCCTTACTTGATACAGAGCGTTCGAAGACAGGGGTATGAACAAGGAACAACCGGAACAAGCGCCGTTGCGCTCTTTTGGGGACTAGGTCAAAACGGCATGTGCAGACACACCCCGAGAACTTTTTCGGGTGGCTTGGCTGGCCCAAAAAAGTTTCGCCCCGCCTGGGCATTGATGGCCTCGTCCTCCGTCAGCAAAGTTGGCGCCCTTGTCTTCACTTCCGCGAGACAGGCCTGGAAATCCTGCAGATGGGTTTGTGATTGCTGTCCGCTTTCAGATCCCCTGCTAAAAACAAGTTTAACTTGTGAGTAAAATGGAAACCCCCACTAAACCAAGTAAAAAGCTAAAAAGCTAAGGGGTGGCTGGGGGGGAACCACCAAGGTTTGTGAGTGTTTGGGGTGGTCCTCAGAGGTAAACCAAAAGGTGAGGGGGGGTCCCTCTGTTATGCGAGGGTGAGAGAGAATATAATCTATGTGTTGTCTTTTTTGCAAAATGGAAGGCAAATACCGCGAGATCCCATGGCAAAGCGGATCGCACTGAAACAAGCTGAAGCCAGCGGTACCAGGGTTGGAGTCTCAGATGACCCCCAAAAACGGACCTACTCAAACCAAAAGAACCACACGAGCCTTTTTGGCCTAAGACAGTAAGCCTTTTTGGCCTAAGACAGTACCAAGCCCTTGCGAAAAAACGGGCTCGGCCATTTTACCATCAAAGCGACGCGCGAGACGACCCAGTTTCTGAGTTTGATATGTCTAGAACCAGTCATAGGCATAGTTGTTGCGTTGGTTGTGACTCAAACAAAAGGTTAGGCTAGATGTTGGGACGGAGAAAAATAGAAGCGGACGCTGTGGAGGCCTGCGTTTTCACCACATGTTCTGATCTGTGTACATTTGGTTTCAAAAACAAACATCTATGGCCTCCACAACGCTTCTCCCGAAAATAAAACGGCTTGGCATTGTGGATTCCAGTTAAAGGAGTAGATTCTGCGCTACGTTTTCTAGCGCCGACATGTGGGGGCAAAAAACACGGTTTATATATGTTGCGTTTGCCTGGGTAGCAGCAGAATGACAAGCCTAGCACCAAAATGAGAAGCCGCTGGCGCTACTGATGATGCAAGATTGCAAGCGGTTGCTAAAAGCAGTGTTAGCCACAGTATCCTCTGCAACTTGCACCATGGTCAACATGGAGAGTTTAGCACGAGCCGGAAATGGAGAAAAATCTGTGTTTTTTCCATCAAATTACTCTCATTGTTCCATGGCATTTTCTACCAGAAGTTGTTTGCTGAATCATGCTCTTACGCCCTGCCATACCAGCCTCTAAAGTGAACCCACCATAGGCTAGTACCTCACATGCGCAACAGATATCAAGCACATGTCAGGGCCAGCTGCAAGTGGGCAGCCCGTTGTTGGGCGCTCAGTAACTCCCATGCAAACTGGTGGCGCGCAAAAGTGGATACAGCAGGTAAGAAAATAATGATCCATTGGCACCATGAACGGCCAGTCATTGTTGTGAACGGCTTGTCTGTCCTTTGGGCACAATCTGAACGAGCCCCTACTTCCGCGCCCCCTCTGTGGCGCAAACCCAGCCCCAGCGGCGCCTGCGTAACAGGGGTAACTGGGGTAGGAAAAAGACTTTTTTTGGTTTCAATTGAGGCAGAACGCGACGCACTCCTTTTCATATGAATCATTTGCCTTCACTTATCAGTCTTCAGAGGTTTATCACCCCTGCTGAGCCACTCACCAACTGCGATGTTTGTTTGGCACCTTTTCGGCAATTTCAATCGGTTTCTCTGCCTTGGCCCACCAGTCGTACAGCGTGAAACTGGCCAGCCCAATTGGACCTATATTCCTCATACATCTGTTTGCAGCAAACAGCAAACACAATCACATGAATCATGCGTGCCATGTGCTCGCACGTCAGCCACGCCGCGTTGTCTACAAACCAGGCACCTCGGTGGCCTCGCAAAGCTCTTTTCCTCGCTAACAAAGCGAGTAAGACCATTGACAATTCCAGCTGTGCGATCTTTCAAATCTCCAAGTGTCGGAATCTCTGCCACGAACCCCTCCCGAATTTCCTACTTGTCCGTACACCAGACAAACAGAAACGGATGGGGAGACTAGTCTTGCGGCTGAGATTTCGAAGAGTTTCAACGTGTTAAAGGCAATTTTCCGCACGCAGCCTCGCAGGGTTTATGAAGTTTTGCCCGCGCCAGTCCCCCCGTTTCTTCGCTGCCCCCCGTTTCTTCGCTGCCTCTGACGCGGGGGCTGGATGAACCCGGGCCGGGCACGGATGGCATGGAGACCTCCAGTCCCCACCCAGCTCAAGGAAATTGGCAAGGCCATGAATCTTGCGGCAAGCCTAGACGAGAGCCGATCAGCCTGCCTGGCCAAGTCGACCACGCCTTGCAGCTCACCGTCTTCGTACAGACCCGTCACAGTTCTCAGCCTGATTTAGAGTGCCGGTACTTGGATGACGCCCATGGCAACCCACCAGCGGAAGAGGCTCCAGGCAGCTTAGCCTTTGCCCAAAACATCCCGCACCCGAGACCGCACCGCACCGCGTCGCTGCTTCAACTGGCGAAGTGCCCCCACGGCTGTTCGCCGCAAGCCCGAAAGCTTGAAGGGTCGGGCGACGAACTGCAAGTCAGAGTCCAGGACCGGCTCGGCCTCCAATGGAGTGGCTTGAAATCGCAACTTCCAAGAGCGTGGGAGATGTTGATCGATGTGGGCTCGCCGGAGATTAAAGGAATTTGGTACTGTAATCCAGTGCCGCCGCAAGAAATCATTAGCCAGTGTGGGTCAAGACCTTGAGCCAAAATGGTATGAGGTATGCTCAGTTGAGAAATGAAGTGTGTTTACCCAAGCCTACCAAACTCGAGCACACACACACACCACAAAAAAAAGCGCCGGCCTCCACGGCGTCCACACTCGAGAAAAACTCCAACAACAATTGGCTGCCCACAATGGATAATGCTGACTCCATGTGAATTTTAACCTCAACTGGGTGAGAAAATTGCGGGGGTGCGCGGGGGTGCACTGTTGGCGAAACCAGGGTTGACATTTAGATGGGGTCAGCATTAACGCAGTCTTGGAGCGCCCTGGTTTGGAAACATGAACTGGGCACTTAGAGGGACACTGGAAACAGCCCTAACTGCCTAACTTCTACTCGGGGGTTCTGCATCTTTTGCAGGGGATGCTCGGAGCAACCCCTGCTACCTTCCCGAGAGGTGGGATTTACGCCCCTCAATTCTCATGGAATTCAGGTGTCTAAACCGCTCCTCCACTTTCAAGAGGAGGGTGTCCTTTCTGTTAGACCGAAACCACCTGCATGATGACCTTATCACTTCAGAGGGAATTTCTTGGTATCACAGGAAAGTGACATCATCAAACCCAATGTTCTGCAACCAAACCACCTCTGCAGGTCCCTCATCTGGGTTTCTCTCAAAGCCTCATCTGAAGGTTTTCGTGGAAGATCAAAGTTTTAGGAAGGCCCAAAAACCCCTTGACAAGGCACCAAAGGACAACTTCCATTGCTTGAAGGGCCAAAAGACCAGCCCTTTCCAAATGCCCCACTTTGATTCGAAGGAGAAACAGGACATTCAAAGTTTGGCTTGACGCAGACACTTGCTCCTTCGCAAGTGAACCTGGAACGTGGTTGTCAGAGGGACAAGCAAAGGGAAAGCAGCCAGCAGGGAGTTCTGGTCCTTCTTGTCCTGCTTGCCAAATCTCTTGCCCATCAGCCACAGCAAGAAGTTCTCCCTCTTCGCGAACTGCTCGCCCTCGAAGAGTTGTTGGACCTGCTCCTCGCAACCCAAAGGCGTCTTCGTCAAAGGGTTTGTGCTTCTTTGAGGGCCCAAACGAAAATGTCGCCAGGTTGTGGGTCCTATTTTGACACATAGACTCGAGAAAGTGGACATGATTGATATGAAGACTTGTCATAGGTGTATTTCTTCGTTCCACTTTCAAAGCAAAGCCAAAAGGAAAACCGTGGGTCCAGTGAGGTAACGAAAGGCACGCTGTCCTTGTGGATTGCTCAAAGGGCTTCGCCCACTGGAAAAGCCAACCGGGAAGAATGCCGGACCCGGGTCAGGGGCAAACAGGTGGGCAAAACAGGGGCAAAGGGGCAAAGATCTGCAGAAATTGCTGCAATGCACAAGCCGGAAACAAGGAAGACCTCAAATCTTGGGTTCTTGATGGCTTGCATCGCTCGTACCCCAAATTCCACGAGTTGTTTTTTGCCAGAAAGGTTCAACTGCAAGTTCTACAATAACTCCAATCCCCAAATCCACGAATCGACTTTAGTTGCCGGCAGGATGGCATGGTTGTTGTTGGGAAACCTTCTTTCCATTTTTGCTTATTGCGGTTTAGTGGTTGAAATCCAACCACTTAACCGCTAAAATTTGGTGTTTTTTGCTCCAACAGAGCCCAAGAACCCAGCCAACAGCCCAGCAGTTCAACAGCCCAACAGCCCACCCTTCCAACGTCAAATGATGTCATCCAAGGCTCCGGGGTGATGCGACTCTGGAAGGCCTCCAGCAAGGATCCAGGCTCCTGAAAAAGGCTTCAGCCCGACCAAAACGGCAACCAAAAGGCGGCGGTCCAAAATATGGGCGTCTTTTCAAGAGACCACCCCCCCCCAACAAACAAGAAACAAGGAAAGAAAGAAATGGGTGTGTGTTTGAGGGATCCCTGTCCCCAAGAAAAAAGGAAAAACAGGCGGTTCCCTATCCCCAAAAACGCACGCTCCTTGTGGATGAACGAAGCCCTGCACCCGTTTGGGACAAGCCACCTACTAACTGCCAGGCTCTAGTCTGGAATGAACCGGAAGGAAAAACCGGTTGGATGGTTTGTACGGGTCAGTCTTAAACTGTGGCCAACGTCCAGTAATTCCTGTGGAACACCGGGGTTCCTGAACACACGGGCTTCCCTTGCTGGATTTTGGAAAGGCCGTATTTTCTCAAGCATGCTCATTATGACCCCGACTTAGAAAAAAAAAGGGGGGAACCCAAAAATGTGGTGTTCCTTCTGGTTTGCCTTTAAACAGTGAAACGGGTACCGAGGCTCAAAAAACACACACACACACACACACACACCTAACCGTCTCCTGCATCGGCGCATCCATGGACTGCTGACCAGGAACACCGTGCTCGCCAGTTTCCAAAAGGGTTTGAGAGTCACAACCACAGCAGCACCTGCCGGGCAAAAGAACGAACTTTCAACTTTACAACCCTTGGTATGGCAACAACAAACTAGATTTTTCGCAGCCCCCCCCCCTCCGCCACTAAAAATGAGCAGAACCAGAAAACCTAAGAACATCCCCCAAGCCTCCGGACACTCCAAAGGGTTTCCTCCGTTGAGCCTAGGGTCTTGAGCTAGGGGCACAGGAGGGAAGCTGAGGGGCTGGAATCGTATGAAGATTGTTTGGTCATGTCTGACATTCAGTGGATTTCCAACAGGAGTCTCACTCAAAACCTACTGAAGTGGTCTACCCGAAAACATGCAAAGAAACATGCAAAGAAACATGCAAAGAATACACAGGCAGCCGCCCAACTCATTTTGAAGCAAAACCCTTCCAAGTGGATGTCCAGGAGCTGAATATCACATTGTGGAAAGGAAGAACGAATCAAATCCTACCAAAGGTTGACCCAAATCTTCATGTGAGCGGCTTTTTGGGTAGCCAAACAAAAACAAAACACGCAACGCCAAAAGATTCTCTCGTCTTGTTGCGCAAGCAAGGCGCCATACAAGGAGATAGCAACCGCAGGTGAGCATACCTGGGCGAACTCTCTCTTTTTGTCGGCGGGCATAGGATCATATCCCATCCCCTAACCCCAGCCTTGATGAAGCTTCAATCAATATGGGGAAACAGGGGAATGTGGGGGCGGGGGGTGGAAGGGGTTGAAATCCTGTGAATCAATCTTTGGCTTCCACACCAAGATGCAGAAAAGCTCCATACATTTTGTCCGCTTAAAGGGCGACACGTGCCATCAAACTCCTGGTCAGTGTTATGTTCTTGCAAGGAACCCTCAAAGTTACCGATTCCGTGATGACCAAGGCAACTATGGAACCTGTGGACCTGCTGGCCTGAACCATCCTACCCTCAAACTCCTCCCCCAGCGGGTCAGCAGCAAAAACGAATCAGCAGACTTTAACGCTAAAACCAGCCCAAGGATGATCGCTTCAAAGGAAGTAGTGAAAAGAAGCGGGGTGCGTTTCGCGCAGAGATCCGGGCCTGGATAGAACCCACTTTGCCCAATCTCAGGCGCACCGGACCCGCGTCGAAGCCGGCTCGGCTCGCAGCACGCAGCCCTCATATTATGTAGTGAACAACAGCAAATTAATCAAAATACAAAAAGAAAAAACTGGTGGGGTCTGCGCTCTTGAAAAGAATATCAAAATCGATCATGCAACACCCTGATCCCTGAATATCAGAATCGATCACAATAGTTGCTCCTGTTGCAGAACTCCTTTCCCGAATTCGTAGCAGAAGGGTTCCTTATAGAAAGGGGCCTGGGGTTGCTGCGTCCGCAAGCGTTCGCAAGCGTTCGCCAGCAGTCGCAGGTCGCAAAAGTTGCCGTGCCGTTGGGGGAAAGCTTGGAATGTGTGACTTGTGTGACTTGCAAGATGTTGTTTTCGTTGCCCCCTTCTTTTGCGACGTCGCGATCGTTTCGCTGCGCCGGCACAGCGTTTTGGAAGGTTGCGCGTTTGCGCTGCCGTGCCATTGTGATTTGCGATTCATAGCCGATCGGCTTGAGGTGTCTTGCTTGGCAGGCGCGTGCGAGAGATTTGCACGCGCTCGTTTTGGCAAGCTGAAAGGTTGTCGCAATCGGTCGAAATCATTCCTCAACCCCTTACAAATTTCTGACATGCATAGTAAGATTGTCAAAGTTGGAGTTCGTGACAGGCGCAATACTTTGAGCGCGCATGTTTCGTCTGAGGCTCGCTTTGCGTGACAGGTGCGGCACTTTGGAGCTCATAGCGTTGATTTCCTGGCAGGCGTGCGCTTTGGAGCACCGTGTGCTGATTTCGTGGGCAGGGAGGTGCGCGTTCGTTTTCGTGACAGGCGCAGCACTTTGAAGCACGACCCGCGCAAGCGTTGATAGACATCCCAAAAACAGCTAGACAGACAGACAGAGACAAATAGATGAGATAGGTAGATAGATAATGGGTAGGTAGCGAGAGAGATACAAAGGAACGATCGCTAGATGATAAAAGAAAGCAAATAAAAAATAGACATATGTTTTTATACATACATATACATACAAAGATACATGGAAGTGTGGATGGATAGCAAGGAAGGAAGGAAGTAAGGAAGGAAGGAAGGAAAGACAGAAAGAAAGAAAGAAAGAAAGAAAGGAAGCAAGAAAGATAGATAGATACAAACAAACATAGGTAAGCTAGAATAGCTTAGATTAGATCAGATCAGATTCGATAGATAGATGGATAAGTAGATTAGACTAGATTACATGAGCTTAGGTTAGACAGATCGAGTAAATTAGATTTGATGAGATTCCATTAGATAGAAAATTAGTACATAGACAAATAAGACTGATAGGTAGATAGGTAGATAGATAGATAGATAGATGAGATTGAAAGAGCGAGATGAGAGCAATGGGAATAGATATATAGATCGTTAGATAAATAGATAGATAGATAGATAGATAGATAGACAGAATGACAGATACATAGATGAGATGGATAGATGAGATGAAAACATGAACGGATAGATAGACACATGAATAGATGGTAGAGAGTTAGAGTGATGGATAGAACGATAGAACGAAGGCCAGACAGATACATCGATCGAGAGGCAGATTAAAACAAAGATAGGTAGATAGATGTAGGTTAGTTGGATAGATAGATAAGAGAGATAGAGAGATAGAAGGATGGATGGATGGATGGATGGATGGATGGATGGATGGATGGATGGATGGATGGATGGATGGATGGATGGATGGATGGATGGATGGATGGATGGAGGGATGGATGGGTGGATGGATGGCTGGCTGGCTGGCTGTCTGGCTGGATGGATGGATGGATGGATGGCTGGCTGGATGGCTGGATGGCAGACCGACGGACGGACGGACGGACGGACGGACGGACGGACGGACGGACGGGATACACAAATAGATGAATAGATAGATAGATAGATAGATAGATAGATAGATAGATAGATAGATAGATAGATAGATAGATAGATAGATAGATAGATACATAGATAGACAGATAGATAGATAGATAGATAGGCAGATAAATAGATAGATAGATAGACAGACAGACAGACAGATAGATAGGTAGGTAGGTAAGTAGATAGATGGATAGAGGAAAAGAAAGAGAGAGAGAGAGAGAGACAGATAGATACATAGATAGACAAAGAGAGAGAAAGGAAATGAAACAGATAGATAGATAGATAGATAGATGGATAGATAGATGGATGGATGGATGGATGGATGGATGGATGGATGGATGGATGGATGGATGGATGGATGGATGGATGGATAGAGAGACACAAAATTACATGAATGGATAGATAGTGGATTAGGCAGGCGTGCAGGTATGTAGATAAAGAGACAGATGAGTGATGGACAAGTAGAGAAATTCATGCGCATATAGGTGCATGATGCGCAGAGGACAGAGGGATGGACAAGTAGAGACATACATGCGCAAACACATGTATGGATGAAAAGGCAGTATCAACAGGCAGGTAGATGGATAAGCAGGAACACACATACACACAACGATAGCTTTCTGCAATCGATCTGCATTTGGGTTCGTGGCAATAATCCCACGAAAGAAGACCATCCTTCCCTCCCGGCCAACACAGAAGCCCTCAAAAGGCCGAAACGAGTTTTGGAGGTTCCTGGAGCTTCCATGTTAGCGTGGGGCTAGCAACCAGGGTGAGCCAACTGTTCAGCAACCTCCTTTTCGCATCATCGAATCAGGGCTGCTTGTTCGAACGCATCATGGCGATGTTGATGGGACTCAACCAGCCGTGGCGCACATGTCCTTGTCAAAGCTACTCAACTTCCACTCGTGGAACTCCTGAGACCGGACTTGAGCGTTTTGAAGGGGGGAGTGGAGGTCCACATTTGGCCCTGTCTTGTTTTGAGGATGCCCTTCTTGGTGCAAAACACAAAAGCAAAATAAATCAATTTGGGGGTTCAGCATTTTGAGACTAACCCATAGTGTCCAGGGCGGATGAAACGGAAATCTTGCCGCCACGGACATCTCTCTCCTCATGCACCGCCTGCATGACCGACGCGTAGCGCTGGCTCACCCCCAAATACTGGGCCAGCTGGGCTGTGCTCCCCGACAAGAATGCCTGCGATGCATGGTGGTCAGCATGCTGTGGATGGTTGCGAAATCCCGTTTCGCACCACGAAATGAAACCAAGGTTGAAGCTTGAAACTATTGTTTGTTTACTCGTCAGAAACCAGGCTTTCTGAGGTGGTGCAGGACTTTTTATACATCCGAAATATGACTTTGGTTCCCACGAAGGGCGTGGGTGGATGATCGATGAGGGTGCGTCTCAAAATAGGGACCCCCCAAAACACTGGTTGGTTGCTTTTTGGTTTCCTTTAAGCCAGCATCCAAAAGGGGCTCCCGATTTTAAACAGACCCATGTGTGTGTGTGTGTAGTGCGAAGCCATAATCCTAATGAGGCAGTCGCCAGCCTTCAGTTGCGCATGAACCGCCGAGTCCCTGAAGATCTCGGTGCCGTAGACAGCACGCGGCATGACTAAGAAGGTGGATGTATCAGACGAAACGAAAGGATTTCCTTGAGCCGGCCAGCCAGCCGCTGGCACAAGGCGAGTTCCGTGTAGGCTGATCTTCTGAGGGTCTTGTGGAGTGTGCCTTGGGTGCCCAATATGTCCAACCTACGCGTCACCCGACAAGGAGAAGGTCCCCAAAAACTGGGCCAAAACCTGATGTGTCAAGGCACCACTACCTCTGAAGCCGAGCTTCAGCCTTGGTGAAGCATCCAGAATGCTAGCTTAAAGTCTCTACCACGCAAAGGGGATCTATTGTGGTCCATCAATGTCAATTCCCCGTGGAAGAAAGTTCTGTCAATCCCTTCATCTGGATTGGAACCAAGGCTTTGGTGGGGACCCCGGAGTTGTGTACTTCCAACCATGAAGATTCATTGGTACATGACGTTGCAAGCACTGCAGGAGCCCAAGATATATCAGCCCTTGATTGAAAGAAAGAGGTGCGCAACATGGAGCAACCCCTGTCAAACGGGGAGCCGGTTACTACCATGGCTATCCTGTACCGAGTTGTCTTTTAGGTGAAAGCTAGGGAACACCCTGCCCAAATGCACTGGTCCCAACTTGGCCAAAATAAGACTATTCGCTGGGCTGTCCTCAGATGCCCTGCTACAAGTGACTAAGTGTTGGCGGGGTAAATGGAAACCCCCACTAAACTAACTAAAATGCTTTAAAAAAATGCTAAGGAACTGTGACTAAGTGTTGGCGGGGGAAGCCCCCATTGAACTAAAGTGCTAAAGAATAGGCGAACGAACCGGATGGCTGGGCGCCACGAAGATAGGATGGGAGCTCCGACAACCCAAACACTCCGCGGATTTCCGGAGCTGCGAATGATTCCCTTAGAGGAAACAACAACAATGAATGAATCGCTGTTCGCGAAGTTCTCATGTCTCATTCCCTGCATCTATCGAGAAGCAGCTAGTTGAAAGCTTCCTCAGGAGGGAATGAGTTGGAACCCCGACTCAAACAAGCTCGGGTGATATCCGCAACAGCATGCGGTGCTCTTTTTAGTGCTTGCACCACACCCGCAGCCCTCGCACAGCCTCGTAAAACCCTGGCGCAACCCTCGTTACCCCAGGGCCGCCCCGCACCGGAGCCTATCTGGGCTGAGACCCCAAAGCTTTCAGCTCTTGGGGACAAACTGGTGGTTTCCCTCATTCGGAAACCCGGCCATTTGTTGTTTGACCCCAAAGCTTTCCCTCCTTCGGAAACCCGGCCATTTTGGGGGGCTCCTAATCTCCTCCTTCCCAGCAAGTTTCAGGCCGGGCGTCAGGTCCGGCTGCCAGCTGCGGCTCCTCAGCCGCGCCAAAAGCCCCAGCGCCGCGGAGAAGCTCTTCGCGCGGCGCAGGGCCTGCGCTCGGCGTTTTGCTGGTGGGAGCTGAGGCTCGACGTAAGGCCCTAAGCTCTCCGTCTTGTATGTGTGTGTGTGTTGGCGAGACAACTGGAGCTGTTCTACAGTTTGGGCCGAAAACCACAAGATGAACAAAAGCTGAGAACAAGACTGCAGGGCCCCATGCTACGTGCCCATGCGCCTGCCCACTTGGGGTGGAAATGTTTTCCTTAAGGGCCCCTTCTGCTTACATACCTCCAGGTTCCAGGAAGTACATGGTTCCCAACCTATCTAGAAGTAATGCTTCCTTGGGGAGAGCCATGAAATGGGGTTCGTAGAAACACCCTTGGACCATGCTTGTCTGGCTTGAATTGTAGTGACCCTTTCTTCACATGCAGATCCTGACCCCTACCCCAACGGTGCCTTAATAACACACTAAGGCAACCGAGTTTGGGGAGGCGTTGGGGGTGATTAGTAACAAGTGCATCCCGACAAAAAAGAAGTTTCCACAAACGGACTAGGAAGAGAAAACTGACTTGTCCCCAGTGATGGGATAATTGGTTGGTCTCCCCCATGTCCTCATCGAAGGGTTTCCGTGAAAGGACCCGTCTCATTTTGGTGGGCGTGCAGTTTTTGGCCCCACAACAAGAGAAACGAAAGGCCGAAGGGTCCGCATGGCACCTTTTTGCGGGTTGGGCCCCAATGTCGTGTGTTGGATGGCGCTGAACGAACAGAAAGGAAACCAAGCACTTCTACCAGCACTTTCCAAGCCGCCAAAAAAGATCCGGCGCGGTCAAGGGAAAGTCATGGGATTGGGTTGGTGGGACACATGGCAGCCCCGCCTGGGTGACCTCCTTTGGGCTCACCACAAGCTCCTCCCGCACAAGGGCTGGCCCCGAAAAAAAAATCAAACTCCTCTCCCGGGTTTTGCAAGAAGAAGATGGGATTTTGAAGGAAGCTGCTCACCCATGAGAAGAGCTAGTTTGGCAAGCAACAAGGAAACAAGGTCCACGAATCCAGAGTGCTGTCAGCACATGCCAGAAGAAATTCAAATATGCAAGACATGAGCACTTTTTCTATATGTATACTTTTATATACAGACAGAGAAAAATAAATATTGCGAAATCAGTTTTTGCGCATGGGAAGAAGTCTACCTAAGCCTGGGCCCACTGCATGTGGAAGGCTTGCACGAGATCTATTGACAAGCTCTACACAAATGGTCAGGTACTGTGCGGGAGCTCTGTGTACGGGCGCTTTCTACAAAGTTCCGTGCAAGATCTCGTAAGGGGGCATTCTTAGAAGGCCCTCATACGGTCTTGCGCAAGATCTTCTTGCCGGATCTCCTGCAAGGACCTGTGCACAAGTGAGAAAGATCTGTTTGCAAGAGATCTTTACATATCTGTCGGTAGGCGCAACGCTGGAGCATCCTGCGCACCTCTCAGAGAGGATGTGTATGATCTCTTGCGGAGGCCTTTCTGTAAGGTCTCTGAACAGGATCTGCGCAAAACCTCTTTGACCTGTATGCCTGTGAGGATCTTGACAGGATCTCTGGGAAAAATGTCTGGTGAGATGTCTGTACAAGATCTCTTCGCAGGGGTTTTGAGAATATATCTCTGCGCAAGTTCTTGAAGTAGGCTCTCCGAAGTAGACCCTGCGCAAGGTCTCGTGGGGGGCGAAGCTCAGGAGGCTTTGATTTTTGTTTAGGGATCTGTGCAAGATCCCTCTGGATAACCTTGGCAAGATCTCTGCATAAGACATCTTTGCAAGGTCTTTACAAGATCTCCGCACAATTCTTATGTTTGTGATCTTTGCAAGAAGGGTCCTACAAAGGTCCCATGGAGGCCCTTGACAAGATCTCTCGGGAGGATTTCCAGCCGGCTCGCTGTCTCGATGTTCCAATGCCCCGCCGCAGCTAAGCTCCCCAAAGGGTTCACTTGCGACAACCAAAGCTCACACGACACCATGGCAAGAGCAATGGAAAACAGCCAAGTCCGCAGAGGGTTCACTTTCGATGTCAAAATGCTCAGAGGGTGCGCTTTCGGTGTTCAAAGCTCACACGGCGCCGCGGCGAGAGAGCCATTAAAAAGAGCCAAAGTCCGCAAAGGGCTCCCTTTCGATGTTCAACCTTCGCACGGCACCAAAGCGAGCGCAGTCCAAGACATCCAAAGTCGCGTTAGATGTTGAAACTCGCATCGCTTCACAGCGAAAGCCTCCGACGCACCCAATCCCCGCAATCGCCAAGCCAGCGCCGGAAGTCGCACGGCACAGTGACAGCACACCTCGAAACACACCCGAGTCGCACTCAAAACCTGGTACTAAAATGGTCTACCCAGAACCATGTACAGGATTAAGAAGGCGGATATCCGCAGCCATTTCCCCTTACTAACCTTCATCTACCCGGGTTTTGAGCACGTGGGACCCGAAGCGCGTGCGGCTTCGACCCAAGCGGAACGCGTGCGCCCCGGCGAAGCCGAAGCACTTGGCCGATGCAAGCCGGCGACTAAACGAGGCCAAGCCTCGAGCCCATTTCCGTCACCATGGCTACAGCAAATTCCCATCCCAAGGAAAGTCGGAGGAAAAAAAGGGCACGGCTGGGGGTCCATGGCATCTTGCGAGTGAGAGAAACACCACCCGAAAGGCTTGAGTGGATTCGTCGGAACATGTGCGGGCGTATATTGCTCACCCAAGTGATCTTGGGGAAAGGACTTTGTCAACCTGCTTGTCGCGGAATAAACCCGAAACCAAGACCGCATCTGTCCCGTTACATCGGCCTACGGTACACAAGAACCGCTTGAACCCGAACCCTCGGGGCGCATGTCCAAATGCAACATGGAACTCCCAGTGCCTCGCAGGCTTTTGGTAGGTACTTGTTGCATTCCCATAGTCACCTCAAGTGAACGCACCACACAGAAAGGCCACACATTCCCAAGCTAGTCTTTGAAGATCACATAGGACACACACACACACACATTCTGTCCTTGGTTCAAAGGAAAGCCAACCGGAAACCCGAGCCTTTTTGGGGGGCCCAAACACTTCAATTTCGATACACTCGTTTTTTTGACCTGGCACCCGGACACCCAGAAGCTTCGAGACCCCGCTGTCCATGTCAGAGATCGATCAAGGCCAGGAGCTCACGAGTCGCCTCTGGGCGAGTGGCCAAAACATGGGGGAGGGGATGGGATGGGATGAACCCCTCAGCCACAGGCTGAAAGAGACCATCGGAGAGTTCTGCCAGAGGGTCCATGTGAGTTTTACAAAAACACGCCAAAGGCTCCGAAACGGAGATCATACCCTCGCAGGCTGGTCGTTTTGAAAACCTTTCTTGGGGCAGAAGAAGGGTATTGCAATTGATGCCAAGAAAATGCCTCAACATGCGTGGTGTACACTGGGTGTTTCTTCAAAACCGGGTGCTGTGTCAAGACGCCGTTTCTCCGTTTCCCTTAGCAGCAACTGGTTGACGAGAAAATCGGCTTGGGGGAAAAAAACATGAAACAACAGACGAAGTCTGCATCATGAGAGGTCCCTTCAAGAATGAGTTGATCTTCCAAATACACTCTCACAGGCGCCACGCCAGTGGGAAGGGTAAGGATAGAAGGACGCTGGGGCAAAAAACCCTCCTCTCTGACAGTCGAAAACGCGCGCACCCAAACATGAACTCCGTCTTGGTGAAGATTCCTTCTCGGCCAAAAAGGCATTGGCAGCTTCGGGTTTGGTTCGTGGAGGTTGGTATTGAAAAGAGAAGCCAAAGGGGAACGCTGGCGGTCCCTTGATTTCATGCCATTAGCATGGGCGAGCTTTGCTCCACATCAGCATCAATTCCCCAACCTGAATTGAGGAATTCCTAAGGAAAGGACCTCTATATTCAGCAACCTCACCCATTTGACGTCCATATAGGTGAGCTCGACGCAATGTGGCCGGGGTGTTCGTTCCCCAACGCCACCGGCAAAAAAAAGAAAGGCACATACCGAGCCTCGGACCAGAGAAGCATGGCATACTGCGAATCAGAAAGCTGCTGAAGTGCCGTCCCTTTCTTGCAGGGACCTCCCCCTCGCCCCATTTGCATCGCTTCACTCACGGGTGCTTTTTCTATGCTGTTCCGAACCTTGCGAACTGCATTCGCTGAGCTGCTGCCTTTCTTTGTGCGGCGAAAACAAAGCGACACCCATCTGCTGTTTGTTGTTTTCTTTCCGTCCCTGAAGGCCAACCAGATAGTTTTGCAATTGGGCTTTTAGAGACAGCTGGCTCTACCTCTCTGCACCTCATGTTACCTCTGCCAATGGTAGGACCAGGAAGCAACAGGATCCTTTCACCTGCCAGGGGTCTTCCTTTGTCGGGGTTGCAGTCCTGTGCCTTGCGAGGATCTTGAGCCGGTGTTTGCTTCGCAAGGCTCGTAACTCGGTTTCCTTCACACGACGCGTCGACGCGCTCGTAACTCGGAGATGCGCAGCCAGAGAGCTGCTAACAGCCGACGTCGTAAAAGCTTCTCTGCCCACGAGCCCAACGCATGAAGCCTTCCCCTTTGCAGGCCCCGTTGATGGGAAACGTCACCCGCAAGTCGCGACCCTTCAGAAGGGCAGACCTTGTAAGTCCCCGATTTGACGGCCCAAGATGCCTTTTGAGTCTGTGGTGGTCAACAAATAGCCCCAAAAAGTCCAAGCACTCCGTGCACCGTTTTGCGGCGCTTGGTTTCAAGAGCTTCATCGATTACCACTACAGGGTTGGATTTTGCTGGCATACAAATGCGTCTCACAATGGGCCACCAAACTGATTTCCTGTCCTCCCTTGAAAGACGGTCCCGAAAGGGGTTCCCAAGAAACAACACACCCAGAGAGCAGTAAGGAAACCACCCAGGTGTTCCTTACGTGAACTTACGGGCCTTTCCCTCAAGAGGGCATGGGAAATTTTGGGTCCGGCCCCCCTGACTGTTGTGAGATTTTTGGTGGGCCCACGTAATTCTGTCAATGACGGATACCACCAGGCCCCCTGGTAAAAATTACCATACCTACAGCGGTGGACAAACCTTGAGGTATTCTCAACATGCTTGTTTCGCCGTAGACTAACATGAACTCCTCAGCCCCGCCCCCCGTTTTTGGAGGAATCTCCTTTTGAGCCTTTTTGGGTTCCATGAACAAATTGAAGAACAAATTGAAGGGGAGTAAATCAGGGGCTTCTCCAAGTCGCCACAAAAATCGGACTCGCGGAAGACACCCTCAATGTCCAGCTGGTGGAGAGGACCCGAGAACCGCAACCAGCCCTGAACCAGCCATGAACCGAGCTGAAGGCCGGCCTTTCATCCATCCAAACTCCACCCAAAACCAACTCCAAACCCAGGAAGCCAAACCTAAACCACTCTCTGGGCACCTCATTGGCAGTCCCGGGCTATCCGATCCGCGAAAAGTGACGAACTGTTCGGAGAAATGGAAACTGTCCGTTGATCAATGCCCATCCCCCTCCTCACTTTTCGTTGGGTGTGTCCTCTTTTTGGTGGTTGGATTCTTCTCTTGGCCCAAACTGTTAGGCGTCCCCGCTTCAGCGAACGCCCCACTCCGCTGCTCCACCCTGAAACGATTCTGACAGCTTTTCTTCGCCGCTTTGCTGAAACAATCCGCGGGGCGGCAAGGCAGTACTGCCCCCCGCGTGCGGTTTTTTCTCCAACCTGCATGCCCAGCAGCAGGGAGGCATGAGTCAGCCATTTCTGGGCAGAGCGGGAGGAGTTCTGCATCTTTCTGGGCAAGTTACTATGATGCACACGAGTGGAAGCAAGGAATCCCCAAGGAACCTTCAATGGCAACATCACATTTACCCCCGGACAAGGTTTTACAAACTCAAATCCTCCCCCCGTGGACTGCAAGAAGCGTGCTTCGGGAGCCCTCCGGAGTCCTCCTATGTGTATATTTATATGTGTCTATATACATGTGTATATACATATATATATATATATGTATGTATATATATATATATGTATATATGTGTATATATATATATATACATATATATATATATGTATTGCACAAAAGCTGCCAGGGGGGGAAATTGAGGGAGCCCGTCCCCAGACCTGTTGCGGATCTTCTTGCAAGCCTCACTTGCAAGGCTTGCAGCCCTTCCGCCGCTTCCCGCGGTTTAGCAAGCAGGCTGGAGTGGTTGTTGAGTGGTTGTTGATTCCCTGAACCTTCTGCTTCTTTGTAGTCAACCCCGGCTGCCAATTAATAAATGCACCCAATTGATAGATTGTTTTCTTTCCACACCCGGTCCAAATTGCACCCGCCCCTACTTTGAATTGACCAAATACTAAGCAAATACTCAACTGCCAACATCCGGGGCACTTTCCGCACTTTCCTTTTTGACATGCTCTTTACAGGTCTCACAAAAAACAGCCCATGTTCCGCATGCATTGCACGCATTGCGCGCGAATCGAAAACCCCTTTCCGCACTCCGCTCGCCCGGCCTGAGATCTGAGGGACCCCCAAGCGGGGTTTGGACGGGCGTCGAGGGGCGGCCAACGCACACCCGGTGGATTCCTCGCGAGTGTAAAAAAACACATGATTATCTAGGGGAGTCTGGTTTCAGACAACCCTTGTTGGGTTCCATGGGGAAACCTTAACATAGGAACCTGCATATGCGTGAGATGCAATCACAAAATCGCAACCTGAGAAGGATACCGTCAGACAAACACACAGAACCATGGATGGGTTTGTTCCCCTGGATCCCCTGGAACCTGACGTCTGGGACCTGGTCCTTTTAAAAGAAATCATGGTCCAAGCCAGGACCCCCCGAACGTCAGGTTCCATGTTGCTTGGGAGGATGGCAGTTTAGATTGGTGATTTGGAGATTTGAACATCGCTGGCACGATGCGAGTCTCTCAGATCGAGCCGCAGATCCAGCCCCAACCGGGGCCGGAGGGAAGACGCGCGCTCAGTCGGAGAAGAGGGGGTTCTTGGTCTGGCGCGCGGCGCGCGGGTGATATCACCCAAGCCACCCGGTCCAACTCAACCAACTCAACCAACCAACTGAGCCAACCAACCAACCAACCAACCAACCAACCAACCAACCAACCAACCAACCAACCAGGCAAGCAAGCAAGAAAGCAAGCAAGAAAGCGACCAGTTTTAGAGCACCCTTGGAACCAGGTCCCCAAACCAATCCAAGCCAATCAAGCGTAATTATCCTGTCTGGCACAGCTGACTGTCAGCGCGCGGTTGCACCTGGCGTGATGTGCGGTGCGTCCTTCTCCTTTTTTTGCGGGCGCCCTTTTCAGGAAAGCCACCCATTTCGAAACCCCGAGCTTTGGACGCACGCCCATGTTTCCTCCCAGCCTTTTCGTGGGATGCGACCTTTCCGCCTCTCTCTCCGGAGGAAATCGCGTTGATTGTGTTCACACCCTCACTCCCCCAACCCTTGAAACATTCTCAAAAATGGTTTAGACCGCCTCGGCTATCAAACCTTCAGCTTCCCATTTGCCTTAAGTGGCCTACAAGCGTGCGCCCCCAGCCTGACTTTTTTGCTTACCCCCGATTCTTTCTTGGCTCACACGCCCATGGGTCCTTCTGAAGGTCAAATACACGGCATCATGCCCTAGACATTACGAGTAACTCAACCGCGAACGGTAACCTCAAGCTTGTTCCTTACTCGTTTACATCTACGAATATGGTTTTCGGATATGTGCTTTTTCGCCTAGTTCCAAGAGATAAGAATCACCTCAAGACGAAATGACGTCATGAAAAACTTCGGATAAATCCAGTACTAGTTCGGGGACGTCTACCCTGTGTAGCAAGCAAAGTAGCTGTTTGTTATGATCACTCTAACTGGTGGGGCCTCCAGGATCATCCAAAAATAGCACAGGGCTGGGGCTGTCCTCAGATCCGCAAAAAACTGTTGGTGGGATTTCAACGGAAACCCCCACTTGGTGTGGTTGTTGTCATTTTTTTTGTTTTTTTTTCCCCACGGCAAGGCGCCATCTTGGCCACATGCACCCCCGGGGCCCCGCGCCGCCGGCTTCTTTGGCGCCGGGGACTCATCGAAGAGCCCTGCCCTCAGGAAGACCAGAAACCCGCGGCTGGAAGGGCTGGCAAGACCGATGGCTTATTTCTTCGTGCAAATAAGCTTGG